GCTGTGCAGAGTTGCGTCCCTTGGGCACGCCAGAAACCTCTGATTGTTGGTTCGAATCCCGGTTTATTATGTTTCTAGGTTTGTCAGCACCATACCTGTGCTCGTGGGTTTCACCGAAGTGGTAAACGTCTTAGACCTGCATCACTTCGGGCTTTCCTCCCACATTAAGCTGGCACCCCGTGATATAACTTGAATAATGTTAAAAGCGGCGTTTAACCCAACTCACTCACTCACTTTACAAGTTGTCTTTAGTTACCAGTATTCCTGTCTCTGTCCAAACTGCCATTACAGATAATTAGGTTAAAATATTTGTATATTTAAATGAGTTTGCCACCTAACCTATTCACCCTATGTATGTCTTGTGTACATCTGCCATATGGTGAGCTTTGTTTATCTCTCAAATCCATAAGTTCATCAAAAATATGTTCATGAAATGTTCAAACACCACACACTTTCTTTTTTCGTACGTCACATGAAGATTCGGGTTAGAATAGGTCTTCAGCAACCCATGCTTGCCCTAAAAGGCGACTAACGGGATCGGGTGATCAGGCCCGCTGACTTGGTTGATGCATGTAATCGTATCCCAATTGCGTAGATCGCATCTTCCCGAGGCAAGTGAGTTAACTGACTATAAAAGTCCAGTTTCCACCCTTGCCGAACTAGGCTGGTATTATGGAGTTACATTTTGGCTGGACAAACGAGTCTATGCATAGTCCAATCAAAATCGCGCACCGAAATCGAAATCCGGTTCGTAATGTGTCATGCAGATTTCGGTCGACTGCAGCATTTGCAAAGCATGTGCACCGCTAACTCGTTGTAAACAAATATTTTCTAAATCTTTTCATGTTTTGAATCAAGGTGCTCACATGATTTGATGCACTTCGCGATTAAAGACTCATTTTATCACAAATGAATAAATATCTTGATTATCGATCAGATCGTCTTGACCGGGCGGCACCGTTTTGTTTGAAGAAAAAGCAAGTGATACGAGAGGTTGAATCTGATTGGTCAGTAGGAGAGGCATAGAAAGGACATAACTCGCAATAATCACTGGTGGCGCTACGATCGAGCCCACGAATTCCAGCCTAGTTCGGCAAGGGTGGAAACTTGTCTTTTAAAGTCAGTTAACTCCTTGCCTCGGGAAGATGCGTAGATCGATGCTCATGATGTCAATCACTGGATTGTCAGGTCCAGACTTGATTATTTACAGAGCGCTGTCATACAGATAGAATATAGCTGAGTACGGCGTTAAACAAACAAATAAAACATAAATAAGACGAATACGCTCGTTCATTCCTGAAAAATATGTTCAAGTTCGCAGTGTTCAGGACCATTCTGGTTCGCATATGACAAACGCTGGACAAACGAGTCTATGCATAGTCCAATCAAAATCGCGCACCGAAATCGAAATCCGGTTCGTAAAGTGTCATGCAGATTTCGGTCGACTGCAGCGTTTGCAAAGCATGTGCACCGCTAACTCGTTGTCAACAAATATTTTCTAAATCTTTTCATGTTTTGAATCAAGGTGCTCACATGATTTGATGCACTTCGCGATTAAAGACTCATTTTATCACAAATGAATAAAGATCTTGATTATCGATCAGATCGTCTTGACTGGGCGGCAGCGTTTTGTTTGAAGAAAAAGCAAGTGATACGAGAGGTTGAATCTGATTGGTCAGTAGGAGAGGCATAGAAAGGACATAACTCGCAATAGCCACTGGTGGCGCTACGATCGAGCCCACGAATTCCAGCCTAGTTCGGCAAGGGTGGAAACTTGTCTTTTAAAGTCAGTTAACTCCTTGCCTCGGGAAGATGCGTAGATCGATGCTCATGATGTCAATCACTGGGTTGTCAGGTCCAGACTTGATTATTTACAGACCGCCGTCATACAGATAGAATATAGCTGAGTACGGCGTTAAACAAACAAATAAAACATAAATAAGACGAATACGCTCGTTCATTCCTGAAAAATATGTTCAAGTTCGCAGTGTTCAGGACCATTCTGGCTCGCATATGATTGAAAATGTTATCCCATAGGTAGTGTTATTAGCCCTGAGTTCTTCGATATTATAATAAATGATATTTCACTGATTTACCATTAAATATATGCAGAACTGATTCCTGATTATAGACTATTAATTTAGAGATGCTTAAACATGACTACTGGGTGGTGTTCTCAGTGGGGTCTTAGGGTTTCTCGGGGGGCACGGGTGGCCCAATTGTCTGAGGCGCCGCGCCTCGCTGTGCAGAGTTGCGTCCCTTGAGCACCAAACCTATGATTGTGGGTTCGAATCCCGGTTCGCCCCGATTATGTTTCTAGGTTTGTCAGCACAATACCCGTCCTCGTGGGTTTCATCGAAGCGGTAAACGTCGGAGACCTGCATCTTTTCGGGCTTTCTTCCCACATTAAGCTTACACGCCGTGATATAACTGGAATACTGTTAAAAGCGGCGCTAAACCAAACTCACTCACTCTTAGGGTTTCTCAGTCCAAATCTATTGCCTTGATGATATAACTGATAATATATTTGGGATTACACTTTCTCAATAAAGTAGAGATTCCAGTACAAAGTACTCGAATCAATACTTTACTAAGAAAGTGTTATCCCAAACATATCATTTGTTACAATTGACCACATTCTAAATGGCATTGTGTGTTCATTGCTTTCGGCCAAGGGAGTCGTGCAAATTTACACTCGAGTCCCGGACGGGACTCAACCCAAAAGAGTACAAGAATCTGTTCTTTACTAAGAAAGTGTTATCCCAAATATAACATTTGTAACGTTTGATCACTTTCAAAATGGCATTGTGTGTTCATGCAGTGATGATAACCAGACAAGAAATTCCTTCAAATACAGAATTAACTCTTGGTGTCCAGAGTTAATAATGTTATTAATCTGTAGAAATGCATTGCCAGAACTCAGTGATATTGCTTTATGATATTGCTATATTGCTATCAAGGCTTGACTGTGACTGCTTGGTGCTTATGCCAGCCCCAAAACCTTATCTTTCTAAACTTGACCGGTCCAAATCCGGATTTGGGATTAGTATCGTTGTGTTACTGTGCGTATCGGCGCTTGTGTGGAGTATCGTTGTGTAACTGTGCGTATCGGCGCTTGTGTAGAGTATCGTTGTGTTACTGTGTGTATCGGCGCTTGTGTGGAGTATCGTCGTGTTACTGTGCGTATCAGCGCTTGTGTGGAGTATCGTCGTGTTACTGTGCGTATCGGCGCTTGTGTGGAGTATCATCGTGTAACTGGGCGTATCGACGCTTGTGTGGAGTATCGTTGTGTTACCGTGCGTATCGGCGCTTGTGTTGAGTAACGTTGTTACTGTGCGTATCGGTGCTTGTGTTGAGTATCGTTGTGTTACTGTGCGTATCGGCACTTGTGTAGAGTATCGTTGTGTTACTGTGCGTATCGGCGCTTGTGTAGAGTATCGTTGTGTTACTGTGCGTATCGGCACTTGTGTAGAGTATCGTCGTGTTACTGTGTGTATCGGCGCTTGTGTGGAGTATCGTCGTGTGACTGTGCGTATCAGTGCTTGTGTGGAGTATCGTTGTGTTAGTGTGCGTACTGGCGCTTGTGTGGAGTATCGATGTGTAACTCTGCGTATCGGCGCTTGTGTAGAGTATCGTTGTTACTGTGCATATCGGCGCTTATGAAGAGCATCGTTGTGTTACTGTTCGTATCGGCGCTTGTGTGGAGTATCGTTGTGTTACTGTGGGTATCGGCGCTTCGGTGGAGAAGCGTTTTAAAACTGTGCGTATCGGCGCTTGTGTGGAGTATACTTGTTACTGTGCGTTCTGGCGCTTGTGTGGAGTATTGTTGTGTTACCGTGCGTATCGGCGCTTGTGTGGAGTATCGTTGTATAACTGTGAGTATCGGCGCTTGTGAAGTGTATCGTTGTGTTACTGTGCGTATCGGCGCTTGTGTGGAGTATCGTTGTTACTGTGCGTATCGGCGCTTGTGTAGAGTATCGTTGTGTTACTGTGCGTATCGGCGCTTTTGTGGGGTATTGTTGTGTTACCGTGCGTATCGGCGCTTGTGTGGAGTATTGTTGTGTTACTGTGCGTATCGGTGCTTGTGCAGAGTATTGTTGTGTTACTGTGCGTATCGGCGCTTGTGTGGAGTATTGTTGTGTTACTGTCCGTATCGGCGCTTGTGTGGAGTATTGTTGTGTTACCGTGCGTATCGGCGCTTGTGTGGAGTATTGTTGTGTTACTGTGCGTATCGGCGCTTGTGTAGAGTATTGTTGTGTTACTGTGCGTATCGGCGCTTTTGTGGAGTATTGTTGTGTTACCGTGCGTATCGGCGCTTGTGTGGAGTATCGTTGTTAGTATGCGTATTGGCGCGTGTGTGGAGTATCATTGTGTTACTGTGTGTATCGTTGTGTTACTTTGTCTATCGTTGTGTTACGGTGTGGATCGTTGTTACTGTGTGTATCGTTGTGTTAATGTGTCTATCGTTGTGTTACTTTGTCTATCGTTGTGTTACGGTGTGGATCGTTGTTACTGTGTGTATCGTTGTGTTAATGTGTCTGTCGTTGTGTTAATGTGTGTATCGTTGTATTACTGTGTGCATTGTTGTATCACTGTGTGTATTGTGTTACTGTGTGTATCGTTGCGTTACCGTGTGTAAAATATTGTTACTGTGTGATATTGTTGTGGTACTGTGTGGATCGTTGTTACTATGTGCCGTAGTGTGACCGGATGTATTGTTGTGTTACTGTGTGTATTGTATCACTGTGTGTATTGTATTAATGTGTGTATCCTTGCGTTACCGTGTGTGATGTTTTGTTACTGTGTGATATCGTCGTGTTACTGAGTGCATTGTTGTGTTTCTGTGTATATTGTTGTGGTACTGTGTGTATTGTTGTGGTACTGTGTGTATTGTTGTGGCACTACGTGTATCATATCACTATATAGTTCCCTTACGTTGTGTTATTTAGTGCTAATGACTCAGAGAAAACAGAAAGCAGGAAAGGAGAAATAAATGACCGTTTTTTTAAATTGTAGTTTATTAGAGAGTGAGAGACAGACTTCGTTTATTCGGGTAATTCAAGGTAAGGTTCCTCAAAATCCACTGTCCGGGGCAGTGGCCATTGGCCCAGAGGATGAGGGGACGCTGGAGGGATGCACATAGTCCACCTTGTACACGTATTTGCCGATACACTGGAAGTTGGCGTACAAGTCGTGGAACTCACTGCGGAGCTCGCTGTAGGTGTAGGCGTGCTCGTGCAGGTTCGGCTTGACGTAGTTGAGGTACAGGTCGTCCTGGAAACCGTGGTGAGGAAACAGTGCGTGAGGGAAACGTGCGTGAGGAAACAGTGCGTGAGAGAACAGTGTGCGAGAGAATAGTTTAAGGGAACCGTGCGTGAGAAAGCAGTTCTTTAAGGAGCAGTGGCCTGGAGAACATTACGTTAGGGAACATTACACGAGAGAACACTACGTGAGGATACTGTACGTGAGAGAACAGTGCCTGATGAAATGTTACGTGAGAGAACACTGCGTGAGGAAACGGTGTGTGAGGAACAGTTCGCGAGGGAACAGTGCGTGAAGGAACAGTGCGTGAGGGAACATTACATGATGGAAAAGTGCGTGAGGGAACAGTGCGAGTGGAAAGAGTACGTGAGGGAATAGTGCGTGAGGGAAAAGTGCGTGAGGGAACAGTGCGAGTGGAAAGAGTGCGTGAGGAAATAGTGCGTGAGGGAATAGTGCGTGAGGGTACAGTGCGTGTGGGAACAGTGCGTGAGGGAATAGTGCGTGAAGGAACAGTGCGTGAGGGAATAGTGCGTGAGGGAACACTACGTGAGGAGACTGTACGTGAGAGAACAGTGCCTGATGAAATGTTACGTGAGAGAACACTGCGTGAGAAAACGGTGTGTGAGGAACAGTTCGCGAGGGAACAGTGCGTGAGGGAACAGTGCGTGAGGGAACATTGCGTGAGGGAACATTACGTGATGGAAAAGTGCGTGAGGGAACAGTGCGAGTGGAAAGAGTACGTAAGGGAATAGTGCGTGAGGGAACAGTGCGAGTGGAAAGAGTACGTAAGGGAATAGTGCGTGAGGGAAAAGTGCGTGAGGGAACAGTGCGTGAGGGAACATTGCGTGAGGGAATAGTGCGTGAGGGAATAGTGCGTGAGGGAACATTGCGTGAGGGAATAGTGCGTGAGGGTACAATTGCATGTGGAAAGAGTAAGTGAAGGAAAAGTGCTTGAGGGAACAGTGCGTGAGGGAACATTGCGTGAGGAAACATTACGTGATGGAAAAGTGCGTGAGGGAACATTGCGTGAGGGAACATTACGTGATGGAAAAGTGCGTGAGGGAACAGTGCATGTGGAAAGAGTACGCGAGGGAACATTACGTGATGGAAAAGTGCGTGAGGGAACAGTACGTGAGGGAATAGTGCGTGAGGGAAAAGTGCGTGAGGGAACAGTGCGAGTGGAAAGAGTACGTGAGGGAATAGTGCGTGAGGGAAAAGTGCGTGAGGGAACAGTGCGTGAGGGAACATTGCCTGAGGGAACATTGCCTGAGGGAATAGTGCGTGAGGGAATAGTGCGTGAGGGAATAGTGCGTGAGGGTACAGTGCGTGTGGGAACAGTGCGTGAGGGAATAGTGCGTGAAGGAACAGTGCGTGAGGGAATAGTGCGCGAGGGAACATTGCGTGAGGGAATAGTGCGTGAGGGAACACTACGTGAGGAGACTGTACGTGAGAGAACAGTGCCTGATGAAATGTTACGTGAGAGAACACTGCGTGAGAAAACGGTGTGTGAGGAACAGTTCGCGAGGGAACAGTGCGTGAGGGAACAGTGCGTGAGGGAACATTGCGTGAGGGAACATTACGTGATGGAAAAGTGCGTGAGGGAACAGTGCGAGTGGAAAGAGTAAGTGAAGGAAAAGTGCTTGAGGGAACAGTGCGTGAGGGAACAGTGCCTGATGAAATGTTACGTGAGAGAACACTGCGTGAGAAAACGGTGTGTGAGGAACATTACGTGATGGAAAAGTGCGTGAGGGAACAGTGCGTGTGGAAAGAGTACGCGAGGGAACATTACGTGATGGAAAAGTGCGTGAGGGAACAGTGCGTGAGGGAACAGTGCGTGAGGGAACAGTGCGTGAGGGAATAGTGCGTGAGGGAACAGTGCGTGAGGGAACAGTGCGTGAGGGAATAGTGCGTGAAGGAACAGTGCGTGAGGGAATAGTGCGTCTGGAAAGAGTACGTGAGGGAAAAGTGCGTGAGGAAACAGTGCGTGAGTGAACAGTGCGTGTGGAAAGAGTACGTGAGGGAAAAGTGCGTGAGGGAACAGTGCGTGAGGGAACAGTGCGTGTGGAAAGAGTACGTGAGGGAAAAGTGCGTGAGGGAACAGTGCGTGAGGGAATAGTGCCATTCCTGGTAGACATCGGGATGTCAGGAACACCTTGATGTATATTGGATATGTAAAATAAAGGAAGTTTTCACAAGATATCAACACAATTAGCCCTCATCTTGTTCATGACCTTACCTCAAGAGCTTCCCTTTCATCTTTGTTTCGTAACTGCCTCTCCATGATAGCGTCAACGTGGACGATGTGACACGTCTTCCCCACAATCAGGAGTAGGTGCTGCAACAAATACAATCTGTAGCAGTAAGTGGTTAGTGAGTGAGTGAGTGAGTGTGTGAGTGAGAGTATAACTTATATATGTATTGTCGATCCGTGAAGATCCTGGTTAGAATAGGTCTTCAGCAACCCGTAAAAGGCGACTAACGGGATTGGGTGGTCAGGCTCGCTGACTTGGTTGATGCATGTCGTCGTATCTCAATTGCGAAGGTCTCTATATGGCTGAAAAATGCCGATGCGACGTTAAATAAAAATATTAACTCACTCACCCAATTGCGCAGATCTATGCTCATGATGTCAATCACTGGACTATGTGGTCCTAATATCATTAAAATCAGACCTTAGTTTTCGCTACCGCTAAACAAATATCTGAGGACATCCTATTACGGGTCACTTCAGACCGACCTTGCGCGAACTTTGACCGACCAATGGAATTACCAATCAGAAGGCAGCTTTCTCGTGCTTTACGGCACAAATTTCAAATTGGCGACTACGCTTCGAAGCATATTTTGACAAATTCTCGATTACATATTTGAAACCTGAACAAAAATCATTCTGGAATGACTAATAGATGGTCTAGATTGTAAGAATTTAGTGGTTATACCCGTAACTATCGTTCGGAATACCCCATGTTAAAGTTTTCGAGATGCATGATTAGAAATTATCACATTCCGACTGTCACTTTCATAATCTGGTAAGCGACGCACTGACTGGTCGAATGAAAGGTCGGCCTGACGTGACCCCTAATGGGATGTCTTCAGATCTTTGTTTAGCGGTAGCGAGAACTAAGACCTGATTTTAATGAGATTGATGTGGTCCAGACTCGATTTTTGACAGACCGCCGGCGTTAAACAAACAAACAAGTATTGTCATCACTGGCCTAGCACAGTGTATATCTATGGTTATATTGTGCGTAACATATACATTAATATCACTGACATGCGTAACACGGTATGTGTGTATTGACTACAGAATCTATATGACTGTAGATTTACTAACGAGAGGCTGCTGTCAATCATGTCATGTATGTGACGACAACACAATACAACCAAATGTATCAAGCTTAACTGAAACCTCATTTGTCTGCAAGCTGGTTTATGGTGACATTCTGTCAGTGATCACAACGTGTCCAAGCAGGGCGACAACATCTATAGATTCCGCAACACATTGCTACATCGTGCTACAAAAGGTATTTGTACGCGGCACAATGCCCCGACAACTTTGTGATATTACGGCTTAGCCTCAACATGTAAATAGGCCGTTGACGAGACACATCACTCATTTCCCAAGGGAGGAATGTTCTTTACCGCTCACATTCATCTTTGGCGATTAGTATTGAACTGCAAACTGAGTTAGCTGGGAAATGGTCATGTTAATCATAATATTGATATCATGTCATTTTAATCAACTTGCACGTTCGCAAATATAGTTGCACAAGCGTGTTGATAAACATTAGCCATGAATAATAGCCATGAAAGTTATCATGATGTCGGTATACAGGACTATCGGCTATAATAAAGCTGTATGCAGAACATCGGCTATAATGAAATCAGGTTTAGAGGAACATCGGCTATAATGAAGTCAGGTTTAGAGGAACATCGGCTATAATGAAGTCAGGTCTGTGGAACATCAGCTATAATGAAGTAAGGTTTATAGGAACATCGGCTATAACGAAGTCAGGTTTAGAAGAACATTGGCGATAATGAAGTCAGGGTGAGAGGAACATCGGCTATAATGAAGTCAGGGTGAGAGGAACATCGGCTATAATGAAGTCAGGGTGAGAGGAACATCGGCTATGATGAAGTTAGGTTTAGAGGAGCATCTGTTATAACTAAATCTGGTTTAGAGGAACATCGGCTATAATGACGTCAGGTCGGTGGAACATCGGCTATAACGAAGTCAGATTTATAAGTACATTGGCTATAACGAAGTCAGGTTTAGAGGTACATCGGCCATAACGAGTCAGATTTAGAGGAACATCGGCTAAAAACGAAGTCAGGTATTGAGGAACATCGGCTATTATAAAGTTGGATTTAGAAGAACGTCGGGTATTACGAAGTGTGATTTAGAGGAATACGGATTTAGAGGAACACTAACTTTATTACGAAGACAGGTTTGGAGGAACATTGGCGATTATAAAGTTGGATAGAGAAGAACATTACGTGTTACAAAGTCTGATTCAGAGAAACACTGGCAGTTACATAGTCTGATTCAGAGAAACATAACGAGGTAGGATGAGGAGGATTATTGGCTATAGAGATGTTGGAGAGAAAATCTTCAGCGAAGATTGAATGTAATGGAATTGCTCGAAGTCATGTGACGCTAACAAAATGTCGCCTGATTGACTCGTCTCGCTTGACAGGACATTATCCATCTTGATTTGAAAAGATATGATCAATCGACCATCGAAGTGTAAACAGAAATAAATGTGTCTCAAAAGAAAGACTTTATTTTAGTGTATCGGGGTTGTTATAAGACGCGTAATCAGAAATACTTCTTAGGGGTTCGATCCGTGAACATCCGCTTTGAAGACTTACTTGTTCTTACCATTCAGTGAGTGAGTGAGTGAGTGGGTTTTACGCCGCTTTTAGCAATATTCCAGCAATATCACGGCGGGAGACACCAGAAATGGGCTTAGCACATTGTACCCGTGTCGGGAATCGAACCCGGGTCTTCGGCGTGACGAGCGAACGCTTTAACCACTAGGCTACCCGACCGCCCTTCTTACCATTCATGCCGTTCGGCATTAATGGGATAATACAAGGACTGGTCGGTTCGGAGTCGGTATACTATATCTGAGTGGGGTATCCATGTTAAACTGCGGCATGGTATCCCAGTGGGCTAGCACAATAAAACCGGCATAAGTCCGGACTAGTAAAAGCACACACGCACGCCCGTACGCACACCCACACATCCACCCACACACACTCACGTCGCTATAAATTTAATCTTGTACGAGACGCTTTTCCTTTGTCACACAATTCGATTCCCGGTGTCGCTGAGGACACGTAGTAGGGGGGACAACTCCGTTTTTTCAAATTATCTCCCTTGCAAAACTTACGTGGGTAGCATGGAATTCAAACCAGTAGTCTTCGATTCTCGAAGTAATATAGCCATCGGGAACCACATACGGGTCCTGCGCCTGAAACAGTCATGGAATTGAATCATTTAAAAAGACAGGAAACAATATATAGAAGCCAAAACATTATTATTCCAGCGTTAATAATTCATAACGTTGATATATCGTTTGCCAAGTTGTTTTTCATGCGCAACATTATTAATGGATACTAAAAAACAAACATTTCACTTACCAAAACTAGAGCAAGGAACGCCAGAGAAAGGAGGAGACGCATGGTGATTGTGTGATAAGGTCAAAGGTCAGGGTGAGATAGTCCTGCTGGCACAAGGTGACCTGTGACCTGGTGTGAGAATACGACACGTGCTGATAAGACGCACTAAAATTACATAATGGCGACTATCAGATGTGTTCCCAGAACGCGATTTTATCTCCGCTTTTGGAAAAACCAATATATACTAGACATGTGGAATTAGTTGTCAGTGCTTAATTCATTATAACATTTGTTTTTAACTTACACGGCGGCACGGGTGGCCCAGTCGTCTAAGCCGCCGCGATTCGCTGTGCAGGGTTGCGTCCCCTGGGCACGCCAGAAACCTGCGGTTGTGGGTTCGAATCCCGGTTTGCCCCGATTATGTTTCTAGGTTTGTCAGCACCATACCCGTGCTCGTGGGTTTCACCGAAGTGGTAAACGTCTGAGACCTACATCACTTAAGCTGGCACGCCGAGATATAACTGGAATAATGATAAAAGCGGCGTTAAACCCAACTCACTCACCCACTCTCAACTTACACAACGTAGGCTGACAAACAAACATAGCGAATACAATTTATTGTTGTGTACAGGATTTCACATTTGAGCAAGTTTTGGGTTCAATTTATCACCCTTCGAACGGTATTTTAGTCAAATCAAAGCGTGTTATATTCATGTGGACCCGTGAAGACCAGGGGAGGAGGGGTACAATAGGTCTTCAGCATCCCATGCTTGTCGTAAAAGGTGACTATGCTTGTCATAAGAGTCAACTAACGGGATGGTGTGGTCAGATTCGCCGACTTCTTTGATGCATGTCATCGTATTCCATTTGCGTGGATCGATGCTCATGATGTCAGTCACTGCATTGTCTGGTCCAGACTCGATTATTAACAGACCGCTGTCATATAGATGGAATATTGATGAGTGCGGCAAACATATCAATGTAGGGGGTAAGCCCGAAGTGATGCAGGTCTCAGACGTTACCACTTCGGTGAAACCCACGAGCATCGAACAAGGAGAGGCTGTGCGATGAACAGAGCAATTGTTGCATATGAGGACAGAATAAAATAGGAGAATACAGTATAAAATCTAGACCCGACGTTGGAATAAAAAAAAATAGATAATCAGTTTGCGATCCTTGGTCTGTCAGCACCATACCCGTGCTCGTGGGTTTCATCAAAGTGGAAAAAAAAGTCTGAGACCTGCATCTGACACGCCGCGATATAACTGGAATACTGTTAAAAGCGGCGTTAAACCCAACTCACTCACTCACTCACTCACTCACTCACTCTCCTGGTTCGATGGCAACACGCCGATGCTATGTAAACTTTCCACAGTTGACAGCGATACTGTGTGATACTTTCTATTGATAAAATGAAAGAATATAACTGGAATACTTCTTCTTAACCATTAGGGACGGTCGGGTAGCCTAGTGGTTAAAGCGTTCGCTCGTCACGTCGAAGACACGGGTTCGATTCCCGACATGGGTACAATGTGTGAAGCCCACTTCTGGTGTCCCCCGCCGTTATATTGCTGGAATATTGCAAAAAGCGGCGTAAAACCATACTCACTCACTCTTAACCATTATTTACGATTATTGATTATTGATTATTGATAAGAGGCTATCTGCTCACAACATGTTCACAATCGCAGGGGCACCGCATAAGGCGATGAAATTCGCAAAGTTGCGTCCCTTTGGCGTGCCAGTATCGTCTCACAGTGGGTTCGAATCAACTTTTTGGTTTCTTAGAACCATACCCGTACTCGTAGGTTTCACATAATTAGTGAGCGTAAATCTGATGTATATCTTGCATTCAAAATATTTTTTTAAAGTTTCTTTTCCCCCACTACCGAATATTCCCAATTTGATACTTCTTAGTTAAATATTTGAAACCTATTACAAACACCTTCGGCTTTAAATCTGATTCGGGGACACAGGTGTTGCGTCCGATAGGCGACCAGAAACTGATGGACGTGGGTTCGAATCCCAAATTATGATTTTAGTGGTAAAAGCTGACGACCTGTTACACTAAGCTGACACGCCCAGATAAAACTCAACTTTCTCACACATATCGGTTAAGGGTTATCACAACATATCAACACGATAAACAGTAGTATTTGTTCAAATATTATGTAATAGAGTGGGCACATAAAATCCTTAAAACTCGGAACCATTGACGGACACCTGTTCAGTGTCCATCCAAATTGCCTTAACTTCAGCTCCCTATATAGCTTGGAGCAAACCACCACAAACGAAACATTGTATAATGACAACAATTCCACGAGGTAACCTGTTAACGGTTGGGTGTGTCCTATTGTGTCAGACCCGTGAAGATCCGGGGTAGAATAGATCTTAAGCAACCCATGCTTGCCGTAAAAGGCGACTATGCTTGTCGTAAAAGGCGACTAACGGGATCGGGTGGTCAGGCTCGCTGACTTGGTTGATGCATGTCATCGATCCCAATTGCGTGGATCGATGCTCATGATATTAATCACTGGATTGTCTGGTCCAGATTTACAGACCACCGCCATATAGCTGGAATATTGCTGAGTGCGGCGTTAAACAACCAACCAACCAACCAACCTATTGAGTCACTAACAGTTTAACACCAGTCATTTTAAGTTGGTTTAGCTTAAACATATGGTATTCACAAATGGTAAAAGGATTAGGAACAAGTCACGCAACTAAGGACAACCTCTGCTTGGTATTTCCATACATAATTTACTTATGTACAAGGGATGATTGAGTGAGTGAGTGAGTGAGTTGGGTTTAACGCCGCTTTTAACAGTATTCCAGTCATGTCACGGCGTGTCAGCTTAATGTGGGAGGAAAGCCCGAAGTGATGCAGGTCTCAGACGTTTACCACTTCGGTGAAACCCACGAGCACGGGCATGGTGCTGATAAAACCTAGAAACATAATCGGGGCGAACCGGAATTCGAACCCACAATCATAGGTTTCTGGCGTGACTCTGCACAGCGAATTGCGGCGCCTTAGATGACTGGGTCACCCGTGCCCCCGAACAAGAGATGAAGCAGGATGAGAAGTACAATAAGAAATGATGAGAATAGCAAGAGATGAAATAGACAAAACGTTTCAGGTGGCCAAAGATTAAAACGTGTTCTGCCGTGTGCAGTCAGGGAATTGGTTTGTAGGCTACGATGGTGCCGCATGTCTCTCGGGTAAATTAAGAATTGTAACTTTAGCCTCATTGTTAGTTATAAGGTCAAGCAAAATGTTGGAACTACCCACAATCTCTCATTAAAGTCAGATCTTAGTTCCTTCTATCACAAAACAAATAGTTGGAGACATCCTATCACGGGTCAGAACGACCTTTCGCTATCTTTTTCCTATATTTGGACCAGAGCTAATTTTCTAAAGAGATGTAATTTACAACATTAAAATGGTGAAACTTCATGGAGCATTGAATTGCCCATAGTTTGATTTTCTCTTGAAGTTTTAAACATGTTTATGTACTCAAGTGCAAACGTAAGAATTAACAAGGTCCATTTGTCATTCGTACGAACACGTCAGATAATTTTGTAACTTTAGAATATTACATTTGAAGTAGGCAAATACTCTATCCCAACTCTTTCTTCCGCCACAAAACTGTCAAGGTCGACGTTGGCATGTCACCTCCTTTTTCGTCATGGATCTGCCGTTTTCAAATGTTTGCCAGAGAGAGCCCCCGGAATCGTATAACAGATATTTCTTTACAGGAAGGGCAGGACACCGCTGTTTTGCCTTTTACGCCGAATGGAATCTGTATGCTCGAATGATTAGCACTTGTTATTCTTTGTCGTTGACGTTTATATATACTTACGGAAAAAGTGCACGTGCTTCTTAAAAGTGTGTGTGGGGTAGCCTAGTGGTTAAACCATTCGCTCGTCACGCCGAAGACCCGGGTTTGATTCCCAACATGGGTACAATGTCTGAAGTCCATTTCTGGTGTCCCCTGCCGTGATATTGCTGGAATATTGCTCTCCCACTCACTCACTCACTCACTCACCTACCCACTCACTGACTCACTGACTCACTGACTCACTCACCAACCCACTCACCCACTCACTCACCCACCGACCCACCCACCCACTCACTCACTCACTCACTCAATCACTTACTCACTCACTCACTCACCGACTCACTCATTCTCAACCCAAAACCCACCAACCCACTCACTCACTCACTCACCCAACCAACCCACCCACCCACCCACTAACTCACTCACTCACTCACTCACTCACTCACCCACCCACCCACCCACTCACTCACTCACTCACTCACCCACTCAACCCACTCATCCACCCACCCACCCACTCACTCACTCACTCAGCCACCCACCCACTCACTCACTCACTCCTAAAAGTGATGTAAATACTCACTCACTCACTCACTCCTAAAAGTGATGTAAATATAGTCGAAGAAGCATAATGTTTGACCGTTCGTCTTATCAGTATTTTGGCATAAGTTTTCATTGACAAGGGTAACAAGGGAGAGGGCGACACGGCCTTAAAGATGGGTGGTGTAACAACTCAATTAACAGTGTCAGTATCGGTTGTGATCACCATTTACGAGACAGCGACGGCGCATTGATGACCCTAGATGATTGAAAACAGGGTGGGAGGGGGGGGGGGGGGGGGTAATGTTGTTCCAAATGTCAACCATTTATTGGCCAAAATGAGCGAGCGGAACCCAGGTTCTGGTCCTGTCGTAGGCATCGTTCCTTCACATCCTAGACATGTTCTATGAGGAAGAGGTCTGGAGAAACAACCGGCCATAGTAGCGTAGCAATGTTACGCTGCCCCCAAAAGTCTGTTGCAACACGTGCACCGTGTGGGCGGCCATTATCCCGCGTTTAGTCCCTTCATTACGTCACTGCATTTGCGCAAAGGGAAGAACATAATATCGAACGATGTCGTGCCGGTACCGTACGTCATTCAAATTACCTTTAACAATGATGAGTTGCGATGCCACTCCATACCATTACACTTCCACCACCTTACTGACGGCGTTGGGTAACGCAAGCTTCGTTCAAACGTTTTCAAGGACCTCTATAGACCCGTGCACGACCACCAAGGCTGTCCATAGGAAACCTGAGCCCCGTTCCTCAAAGCGATCTTAGCGCTATGATGATCGTAAGCCTATGTTAAAGTATGGGAGTTACGATCACCTCAGCGCTAATATTGCTTTGAGGAACGGTGCCCTGGACTCATCAGTGAACATGATGGTTTTCCAGTCTTGTCTTCTGAACCCTAGATGCTGTCTTCAACAGGCTTGGCGTGCCTGATGGTGACGTGGCAACAAACCTGGGCCACTAATTGTTCTCAACCCAGGACAACCCGAGCTGTAACTGTGGTAGTTTGGTATCGATTTCGTTGATGCACCAACCGAATATGGTTGTCGTCACACGTGGACGACCTGCCCATGGCAAGTCATGAGTGTTTCCCTGCTGTAGGTAACGGCAAAACAACCATTGTGTGCTGTTCGTATTAAAACATCCACGTGTATGATTATCCTGTTCCCAGCATCCGAATTGGGCGCCGTGCATTAACAGACCGCCTCCGTGGTCTAATGGTAGAGCGTCCGCCCGGAGAGCGGAAGGTCCGGGGTTCGCTCCCCAGCCGCGTCATACCAAAAGACGTTAAAAGATGGTACTTGTTGTTCCCCTGTCTGGCGCTCGGACGCGATGTTAAACCCCATTTCACCTCACCTCACCGTGCATTAACATGCAACTTAAAGATGTCTTAATGAATATGCTTAAATGATGCATGATTATGCATTAAGATCCATTATTTGAAACACAGTTACGTTTTTTTCCGTTGGTATATATTATGATTATGGAAAGTCTTTTGTCGTTTTTATAACACGTGACAGGTGAAAAAATACACCTGGCGAGAGAATTGTGTCTCAAAATAAACGTACAATTTGATTTATGGGTAAGGAGGTAAAATTATGACAATGTGCCATTTTTTGAGTAATTGACTGGAGTGTTTCTAGAAATTATATTATGATAACACAGTATAACACTTCACACATAGCACCAGTGATGAGATTCGAACCCCGGACTTCAGAGTGACAACGCTTCAACTACCAGGACAGGCCACAGAACGCATTCATCAATACAGCAACAATGACAACGATGGTCAGTCACAATACCTTTATTTCCCGAGTATACAAGTCTATCCCAGACAAAGATGTATTTATACATCATCGACAATAGGCACGGCGTCGGAAATAGCATTATATGTAGACGACATCATTGGCGGCGTGGTGACGGTGGCCACGTAGGTGTACGCTACGACATGGACGCCGAGGTTGGCACACTGGGCAGCGGCCAGGTAGTCGTGGAAGTCGTGCTTGATGTCGTCCTTGCCGACGTCTGTCACTTCAGTGTTCGAGTTAATCTTGGCGATGACTTCATCCTGTGAATAATACGGCCATTGTTATTAACTCGTTGCAACATGTATATATGTTTTCTTACGGATCCGCTGTCCTAAGTAATCAAAATTTGGGAAACAATTGGTATCAGAGATAGTTTTGACAATAAATAGTCCGATAAATGTTTATATGACTAAATTTGCGTTGTATGGGATGCAAGGAGTATCATCTTTTTTCACCTGGATGCCAGGCCATTGCTTCCCCGGCACTCTGCATCACATATCCACAATGATGCTACTGGCTGTCCTCCTCAGGGGGCGGCCGGGTAGCCTAGTGGTTAAAGCGTTCGCTCGTCACGTCGAAGACCCGGGTTCGATTCCCGACATGGGTACAATGTGCGAAGCCCATTTCTGGTGTCCCCCGCCGTGATATTGCTGGAATATTGTTAAAAGCGGCGTTAAACCATACTCACTCACTCACTATCCTCCTCAGTGCAATAGATGTGGTGGCCATGTTAATGTTAAATCCCAGTCTACTGTCTCACCAACCAATCCATAAAACTAAAATGAAGCGGTCTGCTTTTAGATTCATAATAAGGACCCAAACGATTTTTATTGTTTTATCATCTACCGATCCATATCAAACTTAATTAATGCCGTACAAAGTTATTTATTTTTTGTTTTGACCTACTGACGAAACGTATAGTCCCCTCCCCTAACAAAACAAACACCAAACCACAAACAGAACAAAAAACAAAACCAACAAAACCAAGACAAAAAAAGCAAAGAAAATCTTTAGGACAGAGACACGGTCAAGGTGAGAAGGGGTTGTCTGGGTAGCATGGCGCTGGTATGTTCGAACAGCGTGATATTCTTTAACCAGGTCGTTGACATTGAAACTTCCAGACGGGTATGTTCCACATGAAACCATTGAAATTATAAAGCAAATTTTTATGACAAATGGAAGTTTAAACCCACAGCTAGACCTTATTTGGCAACTGAAATTTTGACGTCTCCTTTTGAAAAGGGATTGAGTGAGTGAGTGAGTGAATGAATGAATGTTGACGAAGTGAGCAATGTTTCAAATGTGTGTGTAATCGAGATGTGTGAAGTCTGTAAATAATAAAGTCTGGACCACACAATCCAGTGATTGACATCATGAGCATCGTTCTACGCAATTAGGACACGATGACATGCATCAAGCATGTCAGCGAGTGTGACCACCCGATCCCCTTATTCGCCTCTAACGACAAGCATGGGTTGCTGAAGACCTATTGTCTAATGGATATTCACGGGTCTATTACCAACTATTATCACAGAGTAAGCGAATGCCATCAGGTGGACCGAGTGTCTATAAAGATCCACTGATGGCAAGTTGGATTCGCACCGATTATGGTTCTTGGTTTGTAAGCACCATACCATTGGTTCACCAACTTGGCAGAAGTCTCAGACCTGCATCACTTGAGGTCCTCACTGACATTGGTGACGTATCCTAATTGCGTGGATCGATGCTCATGATGTCAACCGCTGGATTGTCTGGTCCAGACTCGATTATTTACAGACCGACGTCATATAGCTGGAATGGTGCTGTTAAACAACAAACAAACAAATCAAAAACTGTTTAATGCGGCGTAACGTCAAGTCCTTCCGTCATCTCACCTCGACGGCACGCCTGGTCATGGGGACTAGAAGAGCCTGTTCCATGACGTCATCCATACGGACAAGGTAGCAGTTCAGTTGATCTCTGACAAGCAACAGTCGCTGAAACAAGGGATAGAGAACACGATTGGGTTTAAAACGACAATGAACATTCTCTCATCTTACATTAAAGTACAAGCATCTGATTGGTTGAGGGTCTATTATTTCCATGGCGCCCTCATGTTCCCCGCTAAGAAATCAATCGGAACACACCTTAGGTAACTTGCTTATCTCGCATAAGTATCGTTATGCTGAAATAACCGATGTTTATACGAATAATTGGGTGAAGGGGAGTAACTCGGTACGTTTGCGTCGTCTGCTAGCTGTCAAAATGGCTGAATCAAAGCGTTTTACTCAATGAAACTTCGGACATGTACTCGGACGTATTCCGTGTCTGTGGAAATGAATGTCAGTTAAATAAATTCATTTTTAACGATCCCTCAGGGCAAATGGTGTGATGTACCTTATGTGTGAGTGAGTTGTGTTTAACGCCGCTTTTAACAGTATTCCAGTTATATCGCGGCGTGTCTGCTTAATGTGTGAGGAAAGCCCGAAGTGATGCAGGTCTCAGACGTTTATCACTTCGGTGAAACCCACGAGCACGGGTGTGGTGCTGACAAACCTAGAAACATAATCGGGGCGAACCGGGATTCGAACCCCTAATCATAGGTTTCAGGCTTGTCCACGGGACGCAACTCTGCACAGCGAATCGCAGCGCCTTAGACGACTGGGCCACCCGTGCCCCCGTACCTTATGTGTGAGTCAATGTACATCACATCACATACACCTCGAGACCAGTTGACAACTTACTTACGTTAAACTACACATAGACAGCAAAGATGTTATATTAGCCTCAAATTTAAAACAAGACGACTAAATAAGCGGAAGATCAAAGACGGCCATCCTGTTAAATGTGCAATGCATGATGGGATATATTTACATGTGATGAGTGCTCTTCGAAGTGATACCCTTGGTAGATCTCGTTTACTGTGGTGGATGTAAATATGAAGGCCTGAAACAAACGAGAATTATTCAATAAATAACAAAAATACGAAACGTCAATGCCAGAAAATAACCAGTCTCGATTATCCGCCCAAACATTCGATCCATCGGGCGTAAAAAGGCAAAATAGCGGTGGAAATTATATGAATAGGTCACTGAAACTTACAAGCTCCTTCCCAGCGCGTGACACCTTCGTTATACTCTAGGTAACATCGCTGCCACCAGTGTGGGCGCGGCCATTACAAGAATCTTGAAATTTGCCCTCTAACCCCATATGTTGTAACGTTTATACTTTTGTTTATGTCTTAGTGAAAAACATCATATTTCATTTTGAAAAGGTTTACGACTGATCATGTTTTCAAGATGAATTTACTTTGGTTTTTTTAATAATCAGATTGGTTCGAGATTGCATACTAACGGAAAATCTACAAACTTCTCCCTTACATTCTTACTATATCAATTAAAGATGATAGTTTTAATGTAATAGAAATTCAAATTGACAAAGAAAGAAAGTAATTTATCAGCGGTAAGTGTATTCGGCGTCACGACAGTCGTCACTTGTTCGTAACCATAACAGTCATTCGGTTGCGAGCTCAACTCCAAGTATGGTTGTGACCACCTTTCACAGTGGGGAGTTTTGACTGGTGGCAGCGATAGTATAGAGAGCTCCGCGAACGGACTATCGCTGTGAGGAGCTTGTGAAACTCAGTGACGACACCAGGTGTTCTCGGAATTGGTATATACTGTCCTACCGGTACCACCTGCTACACAAGTTGCGTAAAAAGTATGTGGTTTGTTTTCTGCCCGCACAGGAGGAATCCTGCCATACGACGACGGCATGAAAAGAACAGATACAAGCCTTAGTCTTTTATTTCTTATGAAATGTATTTTAACTTTTAAAATTATTTTTAAACATCAAGAATTTCACAATGACCCCAAATAGTGTAAAGCCATGTGAATTAAATTATTGCACAATTATTGAAATAATTACATAATTGTTAAAATTTAACCCACCTCACTCATTCAAAGCGAATGCTGGGCTATATTTTATATACATTGTTACATTGAAAGGTTTTAGACAGTACTTACTGAAGCACATACGAACACAGCTGGAAGAGCGAGGAGCTGCATGACTGCGATTGTTGTGTTGGTGTCTTCACAGATAGCTGAGACTGTTCGTTTCTATTCTAGTCAGCAGGTGCGCGACTAACCATTTGGCTCGAGGTCGACTGAGGGTCATGCGCGGTGTGGGTCGGCTTAATCTTAATGGTAACGATTATACCACCTCGTATAACAGACCAACAACGCACGAATACAATATCACCACCACAAACACCAACACTAACACCACCCTCAACGTTATCACAAACAACAATACCAAAACCACGAACACCATCACCACAAACAACGCCACCCTCATCATCACCATAAACAACACCAACACCAACAACACAAATATCAACATCAACACTAAGAACATCCGGGTTAGAATAGGTCTTCAGCAACTCATGCTTGTCGTAAAAGGTGACTTTGCTTGTCGTAAGAGGCGACTAACGGGATCGGGTGGTCAGGCTCGCTGACTTGGTTGATGCATGTCATCGATCCCAGTTGCGTGGATTGATGCTCATGATGTCAATCACTGGACTGTTTGGTCTAGAATCGATTATTTACAGATCGCCGTTATACAGTTGGAATATTGCTAAGTGTGGCGTTAAACAACAAACAAACAAACATTCCAGTACACATCATTCATCAGTACGTGTGATTCATCAGCACTAGTCATTCACTTGTACACGTCATTCATCAGTACACGCCATTTATCAGTACGTGTCATTCACCAGTACGTGTCATTCACCAGTACGTGTCATTCACCAGTACACGTCATTCACCAGCAAACACCATTAATCAGTACGTGTCATTCACCAGTACACGTCATTCACCAGTACACGTCATTCACCAGTACACGTCATTCACCAGTACACGTCATTCATCAGCACACGTCATTCACCAGCACACGTCATTCACCAGTACACTTCATTCACCAGTACGCGTCATTTACCAGCACACGTCATTCACCAGTACACGTCATTCACCAGCACGCGTCATTCATCAGAAGACACAATTCACCAGTACACATAATTTATCAACGCTTCCACACTCGTGTCTAGTTGCATCGGATAAATACGATGACTGATATAACTAGGAATTTCGGGGTTTGAAATAACATGTCGCAGAAATAACTGTATCTCTCTCTGTCTCTCTCTCCCTATCTCTCTCACTCTCTCTTGCTCTCACGTCCATAATAGTCGGCAAGTCTACATTACTGCAGTTCTGATAATGAAGAGAGTCCCTCAGCTCCTTTTTATTATATTTTAATAACATAAGTCAATAACATTTTTTCTGTTAAATATGTTCTTTTCAGAGACTAGGTGTTAGTCTAAAACCTCACCATAGCTCCAGATAGGCTGTATATTTGTAAATCACCATGACCCATTTAATTTGGATTTGCTTTGAAGAAATTAGATAACCCAACAGTACAACATCACTGTGCGTAATTGCCTTAATCAGTTCTTTCACCTTAGGGGGCACGGGTGGCCCAGTCGTCTAAGCCGCCGCGATTCGCTGTGCAGAGTTGCGTCCCTTGGTCACGCCAGAAACCTATGATTGTTGATTCGAATCCCGGTTCGCCCCGATTATGTTTCTAGGTTTGTCAGCACCACACCCGTGCTCGTGGGTTTCATCGAAGTGGTAAACGTGGTTAAAGCGTTCGCTCGTCACGCCGAAGACCCGGGTTCGATTCCCGACATGGGTACAATGTGTGAAGCCCATTTCTGGTGTCCCCCGCCATGATATTGCTGGAATATTGCTAAAAGTGGCGTAAAACAAAACTCACTCACTCGAATACTGTTAAAAGCGGCGTTAATCCCAACTCACTCGCTCAGTATTTCCAGGGCATGCTGTACTACCCAAAGGCACGTTTCCACGTGAAGGGTCCACCCCAATCAGTCTCGACCTCAGCGGTCAACCAAGGCTTTTGTTGTTGTTGTTGTTGTTGTTGTTGTTTAATGCCGCACTCAGCAATATTCCATCTGTATGACGGCGGTCTGTAAATAATCGAGTCTAGACCTAAATATCCAGTGATCGATATCATGTGCATCGATCCAAGCAATTGGGATACGATGAAATGCATCAACCAAGTCAGCGAGCCTGACCCCCCTATTCCGTTAGTCGATTCTTCCGACAGGCAAAGTCGCTTTTTGCGGCAAGCAGGGGTTGCTGAAGACCTGTTCTAACCCGGATCTTCACGAGTCTCACCCAAATCACCCAGCTTTGGGCAGTTTACCTGGTTACTGAATGTACCTCGAGTAAGTTGTATGAAGCTGACGAAAGGTTCCAGCAGGGTCATGAGGTAGTCTCCAGCCCAGATATGGAAGCTATTAAGACAATCTCGAAACTGCTGGAACCAAGTGGAGACCTCTTGCAGGCCAGGCGTAGAGGACTTGCTTCACAAAGTCCTAGTGCTCTCTGTACTGTGACCGGTGGCGGGCGGCATTTCAAGACGTCAGCAAGGAAATTGGTGTTTTCTCTGAAGTCCTTGTCAACCTGGAAGCCTTAAAGATCCCGGATCTGGTCATCCCGTCAAGACACCCACGTCTAAACCCTCAAAGTTTAACACAAACAATAACAATGGTACATTAATAAAATAATATATTTTCCTTTTTAAATTCGGTTTTCACTTTGGGTAAACAATCATCCCGATTTTAAGCCGAGACTAGTAGACAGTCGTCATTTCCACACCAGCTTGTGTGTCATAGGTGTAGGGGAGCTTGTAGACTTGGAGGTCTCTGCACTGGGATGCGGCCAGGTAGTCGCTGTAGTCGAAACGGAGGACGTCAGATGACACATTGACGGCTGAAGTTCCGTCCGATATTATGGCCAGTATGTCATCCTGAGAAAAAAAGTTTATAAAACGAAAGAGAATTACCAAGTGACCCGTGAAGATTCCGGGGTAGAATAGGTCTTCAGCAACCCATGCTTGTCGTAAAAGGTGACTTTGCTTGTCGTAAGAGGCGACTAACGGGATCGGGTGGTCAGGCTCGCTGACTTGGTTGATGCATGTCATCGATCCCAATTGCGTGGATTGATGCTCATGATGTCAATCACCGGACTCTGTGGTCTAGAATCGATTATTTACAGATCGCCGTAATACAGTTGGAATATTGCTAAGTGTGGCGTTAAACAACAAACAAACAAACATTCCAGTACACATCATTCATCAGTACGTGTCATTCATCAGCACTGGTCATTCACTAGTACACGTCATTCATCAGTACACGCCATTTATCAGTACGTGTCATTCACCAGTACGTGTCATTCACCAGTACGTGTCATTCACCAGTACACGTCATTCACCAGCAAACACCATTAATCAGTACGTGTCATTCACCAGTACACGTCATTCACCAGTACACGTCATTCACCAGTACACGTCATTCACCTGTACACGTCATTCATCAGCACACGTCATTCACCAGCACACGTCATTCACCAGTACACTTCATTCACCAGTACGCGTCATTTACCAGCACACGTCATTCACCAGTACACGTCATTCACCAGCACGCGTCATTCATCAGAAGACACAATTCACCAGTACACATAATTTATCAACGCTTCCACACTCGTGTCTAGTTGCATCGGATAAATACGATGACTGATATAACTAGGAATTTCGGGGTTTGAAATAACATGTCGCAGAAATAACTGTATCTCTCTCTGTCTCTCTCTCCCTATCTCTCTCACTCTCTCTTGCTCTCACGTCCATAATAGTCGGCAAGTCTACATTACTGCAGTTCTGATAATGAAGAGAGTCCCTCAGCTCCTTTTTATTATATTTTAATAACATAAGTCAATAACATTTTTTCTGTTAAATATGTTCTTTTCAGAGACTAGGTGTTAGTCTAAAACCTCACCATAGCTCCAGATAGGCTGTATATTTGTAAATCACCATGACCCATTTAATTTGGATTTGCTTTGAAGAAATTAGATAACCCAACAGTACAACACCACTGTGCGTAATTGCCTTAATCAGTTCTTTCACCTTAGGGGGCACGGGTGGCCCAGTCGTCTAAGCCGCCGCGATTCGCTGTGCAGAGTTGCGTCCCTTGGTCACGCCAGAAACCTATGATTGTTGATTCGAATCCCGGTTCGCCCCGATTATGTTTCTAGGTTTGTCAGCACCACACCCGTGCTCGTGGGTTTCATCGAAGTGGTAAACGTGGTTAAAGCGTTCGCTCGTCACGCCGAAGACCCGGGTTCGATTCCCGACATGGGTACAATGTGTGAAGCCCATTTCTGGTGTCCCCCGCCATGATATTGCTGGAATATTGCTAAAAGTGGCGTAAAACAAAACTCACTCACTCGAATACTGTTAAAAGCGGCGTTAATCCCAACTCACTCGCTCAGTATTTCCAGGGCATGCTGTACTACCCAAAGGCACGTTTCCACGTGAAGGGTCCACCCCAATCAGTCTCGACCTCAGCGGTCAACCAAGGCTTTTGTTGTTGTTGTTGTTGTTGTTGTTGTTTAATGCCGCACTCAGCAATATTCCATCTGTATGACGGCGGTCTGTAAATAATCGAGTCTAGACCTAAATATCCAGTGATCGATATCATGTGCATCGATCCAAGCAATTGGGATACGATGAAATGCATCAACCAAGTCAGCGAGCCTGACCCCCCTATTCCGTTAGTCGATTCTTCCGACAGGCAAAGTCGCTTTTTGCGGCAAACAGGGGTTGCTGAAGACCTGTTCTAACCCGGATCTTCACGAGTCTCACCCAAATCACCCAGCTTTGGGCAGTTTACCTGGTTACTGAATGTACCTCGAGTAAGTTGTATGAAGCTGACGAAAGGTTCCAGCAGGGTCATGAGGTAGTCTCCAGCCCAGATATGGAAGCTATTAAGACAATCTCGAAACTGCTGGAACCAAGTGGAGACCTCTTGCAGGCCAGGCGTAGAGGACTTGCTTCACAAAGTCCTAGTGCTCTCTGTACTGTGACCGGTGGCGGGCGGCATTTCAAGACGTCAGCAAGGAAATTGGTGTTTTCTCTGAAGTCCTTGTCAACCTGGAAGCCTTAAAGATCCCGGATCTGGTCATCCCGTCAAGACACCCACGTCTAAACCCTCAAAGTTTAACACAAACAATAACAATGGTACATTAATAAAATAATATATTTTCCTTTTTAAATTCGGTTTTCACTTTGGGTAAACAATCATCCCGATTTTAAGCCGAGACTAGTAGACAGTCGTCATTTCCACACCAGCTTGTGTGTCATAGGTGTAGGGGAGCTTGTAGACTTGGAGGTCTCTGCACTGGGATGCGGCCAGGTAGTCGCTGTAGTCGAAACGGAGGACGTCAGATGACACATTGACGGCTGAAGTTCCGTCCGATATTATGGCCAGTATGTCATCCTGAGAAAAAAAGTTTATAAAACGAAAGAGAATTACCAAGTGACCCGTGAAGATTCCGGGGTAGAATAGGTCTTCAGCAACCCATGCTTGCCGTAGAAGGTGACTAAGCTGGTCGTAAAAGGCGACTAACGGGATCGTGTGGTCAGGCTCGCTGACTTGGTTGATGCATGTCATCGATCCCAATAGCGTGGATCGATGCTCATGATATTAATCACTGGATTGTCTGGTCCAGACTCGATTATTTACAGACCGCTGGAATATTGCTGAGTGCGGCGTTAAACAACCAACCAACCAACCAACCAACCAAGTTATTATACGAATAAATTGGGCCTCGTATAATGTTATGATGCTGGTTATAACCCATGGCCTGCTTGCCGTAAAAGGTGACTATGCTTGTCGTAAGAGGCGACTAACGGGATCAGGTAGTCAGGCTCGCTGACTTGGTTGATGCATGTCATCGTATCCCAATTGCGTGGATCGATGCTCATGATGTCAATCACTGGGTTGTCTTGTCCAGATTCGACCGCCGTCATAAAATATTCCCAAATTTATTCATGATATTTTTTGTTCAGTGTAAATGAATAATATCCTCTCAGACACTAGCATTCCGGTGGGGTTTCCGTGCTAAATCGGGATTGGGTAGTATGCATTAGGAGCAGCAGGATCTGCTGATTGTGTTAAGCCGACGTTTGTTGCTCATTTCATCGACCACTGGTTTGCTTAGTCTCGATCTCTATCTGCTTGCTGTGGTAACACATGGGAAGTAGAATATACTCACTCACACTCTTACCTTAATCCTGTCCTTCTCAGTTTGATTGTTGAACGCCTCGCTGAGGCGGTGATCGACGTGGACAAGGAAACATTTGACGTTGTTGTGAATCAAAAGTAGACCCTGTAAACATGATACAAGGTAACATGATAGATCAGTGCGAACCACAAGTAGACCTTGTAAACATGGTACAACGTAACATGATAGATCAGTGAGTACCACAAGTAGACCCTGTAAACATGGTACAAGGTAACATGATAGATCAGTGCGAACCACAAGTAGACCTTGTAAACATGGTACAAGGTAACATGATAGATCAGTGTGTTCCTCAAGCAAACCCTGTAAACATGGTACAAGGTAACATGATTGATCAGTGTGTTCCTCAAGGAGACCCTGTAAACATGGTACAAGGTAACATGATAGATCAGTTGTCCACAAGGAGACCCTGTAAACATGGTACAAGGTAACATGATAGATCAGTGTGTTCCACAAGGAGACCCTGTAAACATGGTACAAGGTAATATGATAGATCAGTGTGTTCCACAAGGAGACCCTGTAAACATTGTACAAGGTAACATGATAGATCAGTGTGTTCCACAAGGAGACCCTGTAAACATGGTACAAGGTAATATGATAGATCAGTGTGTTCCACAAGGAGACCCTGTAAACATTGTACAAGGTGACATGATAGATCAGTGTGTTCCACAAGTAGACCCTGTAAACATGGTACAAGGTGACATGATAGATCAGTGTGTTCCACAAGTAGACCCTGTAAACATGGAACAAGGTAACATGATAGATCAGTGTGTACCACAAGTAGACCTTGTAAACATGGTACAAGGTAACATGATAGATCAGTGTGTTCCACAAGTAGACCGGAAACATAGTACAAGGTAACATGATAGATCAGTGTGTACCACAAGTAGACCTTGTAAACATGGTACAAGGTGACATGATAGATCAGTGTGTTCCACAAGTAGACCTTGTAAACATGGTACAAGGTGACATGATAGATCAGTGTGTTCCACAAGTAGACCCTGTAAACATGGTACAATGTAACATGATAGATCAGTGTGTACCACAAGTAGACCCTGTAAACATGGTACAAGGTAACATGATAGATCAGTGTGTTCCACAAGTAGACCCTGTAAACATGGTACAATGTAACATGATAGATCAGTGTGTTCCACAAGTAGACCCTGTAAACATGGTACAATGTAACATGATAGATCAGTGTGTTCCACAAGTAGACCCTGTAAACATGGTACAAGGTAACATGATAGATCAGTGTGTACCACAAGTAGACCCTGTAAACATGGTACAAGGTGACATGATAGATCAGTGTGTACCACAAGTAGACCTTGTAAACATGGTACAAGGTAACATGATAGATCAGTGTGTACCACAAGTAGACCTTGTAAACATGGTACAATGTAACATGATAGATCAGTGTGTACCACAAGTAGACCTTGTAAACATGGTACAAGGTAACATGATAGATCAGTGTGTACCACAAGTAGACCCTGTAAACATGGTACAATGTAACATGGTAGATCAGTGTGTTCCACAAGGAGACCCTGTAAACATGGTACAAGGTAACATGATAGATCAGTTTGTACCACCAGTAGACCCTGTAAACATGGTGCAAGGTAACACGACAGATCAGTATGTACCACAAGTAGACCCTGTAAACATGGTGCAAGGTAACATGATAGATCAGTGTGTACCACAAGTAGACCCTGTAAACATGGTACAAGGTAACATGACAGTTCAGTGTGTACCACAAGTGGACATCATACAAGTTAACACGACCGCTCAGTGTCTAACACAAGTAGATCATGTTTGCAGATTGTCAGTGGAGATCTTTTTGTACGACCTGAAAACGGCATAACATTATCTATAATACACTTTGCTATGATTATTAGATGCTTAATATAATAATGATTTACTTAAAATGTTTTGTTTAACTTACGTTCGGTGCGTGATATTCAAATCGGTAGCCATTGTACAGTTCATTGAATGATGTAATGGTGAAAATGAAGGCCTACAAAGGGAAATTCAGGGCTGTCATACACTGAAAATCAACATTTAACAACAAGAGTCGATCAAAATAAAAACGCCTCGTGGAGATCTCGGGGCAGAATAGATCTGTCGAGAACCCTTCTTGTATTTAGTTTCTACAAATAAGAACACAGTTGCATATGCGACCTGGCTGATTGTATGTCAGGGTGCCCGAACGGCAATGTTTGTTTGTTTGTTTGGTTGTTTGGTTGTTTGTTTGATTGTTTTTTTTTTCAACGCCGCACTCAGCAATATTTCAGCAATATGACGGCGGTCTGTAAATAATTGAGTCTGGGCCAGACAATTCAGTGTTTGACATCATGAGCATCGATCCACGTATTTGGGTTACGATTACCTACATCAACCAAATCAGCGAGCCTGACCACCCGCTCCCGTTAGTCGCCTCTTCCCACAAGCATAGTCAGTTGACTTTTACAGCATGCATGGGTTGCTGAAGACCTATTCTAACCCGAATTTTCACGGGTCAAAGGTGAGGTGAGGGGCTGGTCATATATTTTTGGGTGGAGTCGGTGAAATTGGTCTCAGGACTATCATAATTTCCCATACTCACACACCCCTCCCATTTTATGTAACAATTTGTCGTGGCCCACCCAAATACATGAAGCAATCTTTCATGTCCCCCTCGCTCCTAAAATAAATGACCAGTCCCTAAATAATGTTCAATTGTATTAAAAGTATAAATTATTCGAAAAAATAGAATTGTGGCCTTTTTCATATAGTTGTGATAATTTGGGCGACCAATGTATACAGAGGTGAGGCGAGGTGAAATTGGGTTTAACGTCGCGTCCAAGATTATTGCACTTATATAGCGACGTGCATGCACGTGTATGTGTGTGTGTGGCTGCTTGTACTAGTCCGGACTGATGCCGATTTATAGTGCTAGCTCACTGAGATACCATGCCGCAGTTTAACATGAATACCCCACTCAGACACAGTATACTGACTCCGAGCCGACCAGTCCTTGTTTTAGCCCCTTAATGCCGAGCGCCAGACAGGGTAACAACAAGTACCATCTTTTAACGTCTTTTTGTATGACGCGGCCCGGGATCGAACCCCGGACCTTCCGCTCTCCGGGCGGACGCTCTACCTCTAGGCCACGGAGTATCATTATATGGTCTCTGATGTATAACAATTTTACTCACTCCTAATAGGTGAGGCAGTGAGGTGATATGGGGTTTAACGTCGCGTTGAAGATTATTGCAGTCATGTAGCGACGTGCGTGAGCGTGTGTTTGTTTGTGCGTGCGCTTGTACACGTCCGGGCTAATGGCGATTTTATAGAGCTTCCCCATGAGATATCATGCGCAGTTTAACATGAATAGCCCACTCAGACACAGTATACTGACTCCGAGCCGACCAGTCCTTGTTTGAGCCCCTTAATGCCGAGCGCCAGGCAGGGTAACAACAAGTACCATCTTTCGGTATGACGCGGCGGATGGACGCTGCGCGGAGGCGGTACTCACTCCCAACACACTCTGCCTCCATGTGAATTACAAATAACTATTTTTCAAGCAACTTTATAAAGGCCCTTAGATGTCAAATACAGAGATTAAAATATCAAGAATTGATGGGTGAAAAAACGTTTTACTCACAGCTGAGTACCGAAAAATGGCTGCAAAAGAAAGAGCTCTCATTTGGAAGTTCTGTGGTACGTTGACATATAAAGAAATTTAATAGATGAGAAGAGTCACCTTGTCGTTTGATAAAAGGTCTTATCTATAAAGTCAGAAAGTGTATCCCAATTTAAATATATACTCACAATGCCGTACCTAAATAACCCATTGACTTACGTAATGGCGCGTCGTCGTGTGGTCTCGGGAAACCATTGCGAGTTGCGTCCCTTAAGCTTAAAAGGATACGCTGTTTTGGGTTCCAACAACACTTTCGTCACTGTCATGATTAATGGTTTTGTTTGTCAGAGCCATGGTTTCATTGTTGGGTTTCAACGAAGTGACAAAAGCTTACGACCTACACTGTCTACTCGTCGTTGGTTCGAATCCCAGATTCATACAGATTATGATCCGCGATTTGTGTTCACCCGTGTTCGTGGGTTTAAATAGGTTATATGCGACCTGCGTTCGTTCTGATGACACGCATTGATATTCCTCAAATACTGTTCAAAGCGGCGTTAAATCTTAATCGTCACTCACTTTACTAAGCTTTTTAAAAAAAGGAAGTAATTTACCAGTATCGTCACAAATAAACAATTGTAATATTGGTAACACGCGAAATATTTTGGATAATCTACTCGGCGGAATGTAGGCCTCGATTACTTAGTTACAGACCGGACCACCTCCGTGGTCTAGTGGTAGAGCGTCCGCCCGGAGAGCGGAAGGTCCGGGGTTCGATCCCCGACCGCGTCATACCAAAAGACGTTAAAAGATGGTACTTGTTGTTACCCTGTCTGGCGCTCGGCATTCAGGGGCTAAAACAAGGACTGGTCGGCTCGGAGTCAGTATACTGTGTCTGAGTGAGGTATTCATGTTAAACTGCGGCATGGTATCTCAGTGAGCTAGCACTATAAATCGGCATCAGTCCAGACTAGTACAAGCAGCCACACAAACACACACAAACACACACACGTACATGCACGTCGCTATATAAGTGCAATAATCTTGGACGCGACGTTAAACCCCATTTCACCTCACCTAGTTACAGACCGCCGTTATACAGCTGGAATATTGCTGGCGTGCGGCGTTAAACAACAAACAAACAAACAAACACATTAACAAAACTAGGCTGCACTGTCGACGTAAGACTAACTGTGTAGTCATCTGTAACGTTCGATACTTTCGAACACTTAGTTGAAAAATCAAACAATATGAGTATGAAATTGTCTTGGAACTGAGATATAATTGTGTCACCCGCTATCTGTCAGTCTTCCACTCGTGTGAAGACGCCAGGTTGTAGACATGTAGATCCGATGTTCGGGGCGAGTGTCCGGGTTATGTGTTTCCAGATCGAAGAAGGACTACATGAAATACGACATAAGTCATTCATTCCCTTTATTGATAGCTACACTGTTCAAGATAAGAGAGTTGGAAACTTTATACCAAGCAGCGTTGACGTCATGAAATGTCATTATTGACGTAAAGCAGACACGGGTAGCCATATCACTATTATTTACACAGACTATACGGGCTGACATTATCATATACACGAGCTGCACGGGCTGTCATTATCATATACACGAGCTGCCCGGGCTGTCATGATCATTAACACGAGTTGCACGGGCTGGCATTATCATATACACGAGCTGCACTACTGTCATTATCATACTCACGAGCTGCAAGGGCTGTCATTGTCACATACACAAGCTGCACGGGTTGTCATTATCACATGCACGAGTTGCACGGGCTGACATGCCATTAGCATATACACGAGCTGCACGGGCTGTCATTACCACATAAACAAGCTGTACGGGCTGTCATGTCACTATCATATACACGGGCTACCATTATCATATACACGAGCTGCACGTATTTTCATGTCATTATCATATAATCGTGCCACACGGGTGGCCGTCATTATCATATACAGGAGCTGCATGGGTTGTCATGTCATTATCATATACACGAGCTGCACGGGCTGTCATGTCACTATCATATACAAGAGCTGCATGGGCTGTCATGCCCTAAGCATATACACGAGGTGCACGCGCTGCACCTGTTGCCATGTCATTATCATATACACGAGCTGCACGTGTTGCCATGTCATTATCATATACACGAGCTGCACGGGTTGTCATTATCATATACACGAGCTGCATGTGTTGCCATGTCATTATCAAATACACGTGCTGCACGGGGTGTCATGTCACTATCATACACACAAACTGCACGTGGTGTCATGTCACTATCATATACACGAACTGTACGGGTTTTCCTTATCATATACACGAGCTGCACGGGCTGCACGTGTTGCCATGTCACTATCATTAATACGAGCTGCACGGGCTGCCATTATCAAATGTGCGAGCTGCACGTGCTGCCATATCACTGTCATATACACGAGCTGCACGTGTTGCCATGTCATTATCATATACACGAGCTGCACAGGCTGTGATGTCATTATCATATACACGAGCTGCACAGGCTGTCATGTCATTATCATATACACGAGCTGCACGAGTTGACATGCCATTAGCATATACACAAGCTGCACTGGTTGCCATGTCATTATCATATACACGAGCTGCACGGGTTGACATGCCATTAGCATATACACAAGCTGCACTGGTTGCCATGTCATTATCATATACACGAGCTGCACGGGTTTTCCTTATCATATACACGAGCTGCACGGGCTGCACGTGTTGCCATGTCACTATCATTAATACGAGCTGCACGGGCTGTCATTATCAAATGTGCGAGCTGCACGTGCCGCCATATCACTGTCATATACACGAGCTGCACGGGCTGTGATGTCATTAGCATATACACGAGCTGCACGGGTTGACATGCCATTAGCATATACACAAGCTGCACTGGTTGCCATGTCATTATCATATACACGAGCTGCACGGGTTTTCCTTATCATATACACGAGCTGCACGGGCTGCACGTGTTGCCATGTCACTATCATTAATACGAGCTGCACGGGCTGTCATTATCAAATGTGCGAGCTGCACGTGCCGCCATATCACTGTCATATACACGAGCTGCACGGGCTGTGATGTCATTAGCATATACACGAGCTGCACGGGCTGACATGCCATTAGCATTTACACGAGCTGCACGGGTTGTCCTTATCATATACACGAGCTGCACGTAATGCCATGTCATTATCATATACACGGGCTGCCATTATCATATACACGAGCTGCACGTGTTGCCATGTCATTATTATATACACGGGCTGCACGGGATGCCATTATCAAATACACGAGCTGCACGTGTTGCAATGTCATTGTCAAATACACGAGCTGCACGGGCTGTCATGTCACTATCATATACACGAGATGCGCGGACTGACATGCCATTATCATATACACGAGCTGCACGGGCTGACATGCCATTATCATATACACGAGCTGCACGGGCTGCCATTATCATAGACACGAGCTGCACGTGTTGCCATGTCATTATCATATACACGAGCTTCACGGATGGCCGTCATTATCATATACACGAGCTGCATTGGTTGTTATGTCATTATCATATGCACGAACTGCATGGGCTGCCATGTCATTGTCAAATACACGAGTTGCACGTGTTGCCATGTCACTATCATATACAAGAGCTGCACGGGCTGACATGTTATTATCATATAAACGAGTTGCACGGGCTGTCATGTCATTGTCAAAATACACGAGCTGCACGTGTTGCCATATCATTATCATATACACGAGCTGCACGGGCTGACATGTCACTATCATATACACGAGCTGCACGGGCTGTCCTTATCATATACACGAGCTGCACGTGTTGCCATGTCATTATCATATACTCGAGCTGCACGGGTTGTCATTATCATATAAACGAGCTGCACGTGTTGCCATGTCATTATCATATACACGAGCTGCATGGGCTGTCATGACATTGTCAAATACACGAGCTGCACGGGCTGACATGCCATTAGGATATACACGAGCTGCACGGATTGTCCTTATCATATACACCAGCTGCACGTATTGCCAGGTCATTATCATATACACGGGCTGCCATTATCATATGCACGAGCTGCACGTGTTGCCATGTCATTATCATATATACAAGCTGCACGGGGTGTCATGTCACTGTCATACACACGAGTTGCACGGGTTGACATGCCATTAGCATATACACGAGCTGCACTGATTGTCATGTCATTATCATATACACGAGCTGCACGGGTTGTCATGTCATTATCATATACAAGAGCTGCACGGGCTGTCATGCCATTAGCATATACACGAGGTGCACGGGTTTTCCTTATCATATACACGAGCTGCACGGGCTGACATGCCATTATCATATACACTAGCTGCACGGGCTGCCATTATCATAGACACGAGCTGCACGTGTTGCCATGTCATTATCATATACACGAGCTTCACGGATGGCCTCTATTATCATATACACGAGCTGCATTGGTTGTCATGCCATTAGCATATACACGAGCTGCACGGGTTGTCATGTCATTATCATATACAAGAGCTGCACGGGCTGTCATGCCATTAGCATATACACGAGTTGCACGGGTTTTCCTTATCATATACACGAGCTGCACGGGCTGTCATGCCATTATCATATACACAAGCTGCACGGGCTGCCATTATCATAGACACGAGCTGCACGTGTTGCCATGTCATTATCATATACACGAGCTGCACGGATTGCCTCCATTATCATATACACGAGCTGCATTGGTTGTCATGTCATTATCATATACACGAGCTGCACGGACTGCCATGACATTGTCAAATACACGAGTTGCACGTGTTGCCATGTCACTATCATATACACGAGCTGCACGGGCTGTGATGTCATTATCATATACACGAGCTGCACGGGCTGCCATGTCATTGTCAAATACACGAGTTGCACGTGTTGCCATGTCACTATCATATACACGAGCTGCACGGGCTGACATGTCACTATCATATACACGAGCTGCACGGGCTGTCCTTATCATATACACGAGCTGCACGTGTTGCCATGTCATTATCATATACACGAGCTGCACGGGTTGTCATTATCATATAAACGAGCTGCACGTGTTGCCATGTCATTATCAAATACACGAACTGCACGGGATGTCATGTCATTGTCAAATACACGAGCTGCACGGGCTGCCATGTCATTATCACAATTCACTCTGCCTATATGTGATTAGCTAATTACAATTTTTCAAGTAACTTTAAAAATCCTGTTATTATCAAATATCTGTTTTTTGTGCGGCTCGTGAATTTGATAATGACATACACACGATGTCATGGATTGTCATGTCATTATCATATGCACGAGCTGCACGGGTTGTCATGTGATTATCATAATACACGAGCTGCACGGCAAACAGACAGTCAGACAGTGTATCGCTAGTACTAGAAAAATACCTCTAAAGTTGATAACCCTAATATATCTAATAGCTTAAACTCTTTTATTTTAAGATTTACCTTTAATTTGTGGGTAGGATAATTTTGCATGACATGTTAGAATCATGCTCCTGGCCCGCTATCTACGTAAGACAATGTTGATGGCGCATCCATTACGCTGCACCTGATATGTTTGTGAACCATCTGTGTCATCAACTACGATCCCTTTCGTATCAATTTTCATTTGTGGACATGCGAAGACGGTTTCAGTGGACAATGCAAATGGTCGACACAATTCCACCAACACTCAGTTTCTTCTACACCAAATATGTCGTTCCCATAGTGGTTTTCGTGGCCTTCAGTGCATATTGAGACATCAGGCAGCTATGATTGGATGGTGTTGTGTAAGATGTAGCTGGGGTACGTGTGTTCAGCTTCCTGAACTCTGAAAAGGAATCGGCTAAGGTAGCCATTTTGTTTGTTTGTATTGCTGCTAAAAGGCTAGAATGTGTTAACATGTACATGTTATAGTTATTCAATGCCAAGTTATTGTTTAAAAATTAAACATCACTATAGAAGTCTTTGTGAAATCATTTAGTTTTGTGTAACCTTCACACCACAGTTTCCGTAAATCTAACGCGTTCGGTTTCTCATTATTTTTACAAGTATCAAATCAACGTTTGAAACCTTAAAATCGAAAATCGGTTTATCTCCTAATTGAAGCGATACCATATATGCAAAACAAATATATTTATTAAAGAAAATAATAAGCATCATAAGACAATGTTTTAATAACACCAGGGGATGTGATCAGCAGAATACAGGTGTTTATTTTGTGGCTGCTGAGTATGTTAGTTCGTAGACAGTCTTTCTGAAGCACTCGAACACTGCCCGGATGTCGTGGTAGTCCTGGCGGACTTGGGAGAGACTGGTACGATGTTCCCCCTGGCCGGACGTGATTTGGGCGTAGACCTTGTCCTGTGGAATGAGTGAGTGAGTGAATGAGGTTTTACCCCGCATGCTGCTGGTCATTATAATGAGGGATTCGAACCCACGATCTTAGGATCATATCATCCCGAAGGGGCGCAACTTATTTCCCCGAAGGATAACGTCGGGTACAGGCCCTTTTTTGAACAACTGGAAATGCCATTTGGTAAAGATTTGTAGAGAAATGCATGTATGAAATTGGTGTGCCAATTATTGGAGATGTTTAAATGTTTGATCCCCTTTTACTTCCAACAGGTCTGTGAAGACCCGGTTCAGAATAGATCTTCAGCAACCCATGCTTGCCGTAAAAGGCGACTATGCTTGTCGTAAGAGGCGACTGACGTGGTCAGGCTCGCTGACGTGGTTGACGTATTTATCCCAATTGCGTGGATCGATGCTCATGATGTCAATCACTGGATTGTCTGGCCGAGCCTCGATTACAGACCGACGTCATATACCTGGAATATTGCTGAGTGCGGCGTTAAACAAGGGACAAACAAACACACAATACTTCTAACATGATCAAATACATAGACATGGCCAGAGCGAGAGAAAAAGGTCGACTCAGTTGTCCATGCCCCAAAATGGCTGATTTACCATATAGATGTGTAGATCAGAAAGTCGATGCTGATGGGAGTTGGGACGTGTTGATAGGCGTTGGGGCGTGCTGATGGGAGTTGGGATGTGTTGATGGGAGTTGGGGCGTGTTGATGGTTGTTGAAGGGTTTTGAAGGGTGTTGATGAGCGTTGAAGGGTGTTAATGCGTGTTGATGGATATTGAAGGGTGTTGATGGATGTTGAAGCGTGTTGATGGGTGTTGAAGGGTGTTAATGGGTGTTGATGGATGTTGAAGCGTGTTCATGGGTGTTGAAGGGTGTTGATGGGTGTTGAGGCATGTTGAAGGGTTTTGATGGGTGTTGACTGACGTTGAGGCATGTTGATGGGTGTTGACGGGTGTTGAAGGATGTTGAAGCTTGTTGATGAGTGTTGAAGGGTGTTAATGGATGTTGAAGCGTGTTGATGGGTGTTGAAGGGTGTTGATGGGTGTTTAAGGGTGTTGAAGCGTGTTGATGGGTGTTGAGGCGTGTTGAAGGGTTTTGTGGTGTGTTGATTGGTGTTGGCTGATTTTGAGGCATGTTGGTGGGTGTTGTGGTGTGTTGATGGATGCTGAGGCGTGTTGATCGGTGTTGATTGGTGTTGATGCGTGTTGGCTGATTTTGAGGCATGTTGGTGGGTGTTGTGGTGTGTTGATTGGTGTTGTGGCGTGTTGATCGGTGTTGTGGGTGTTGATTGATGCTGAGGTGTGTTGATGGGTGTTGATTGGTGTTGGCTGATTTTGAGGCATGTTGATGGATGTTGTGGTGTGTTGATTGGTGTTGTGGCGTGTTGATCGGTGTTGATGCGTGTTGGCTGATTTTGAGGCATGTTGGTGGGTGTTGTGGTGTGTTGATTGGTGTTGTGGTGTGTTGATTGGTGTTGTGGGTGTTGATTGATGCTGAGGTGTGTTGATGGGTGTTTATTGGTGTTGGCTGATTTTGAGGCATGTTGGTGGGTGTTGTGGTGTGTTGATGGATGCTGAGGCGTGTTGATCGGTGTTGATTGGTGTTGATGCGTGTTGACTGATTTTGAGGCATGTTGATGGGTGTTGTGGTGTGTTGATTGGTGTTGTGGCGTGTTGATCGGTGTTGATTGGTGTTGATGCGTGTTGACTGATTTTGAGGCATGTTGGTGGGTGTTGTGGTGTGTTGATGGGTGTTGTGGGTGTTGATTGATGCTGAGGCGTGTTGATGGGCGTTGATTGGTGTTGGCTGATTTTGAGGCATGTTGATGGCTGTTGTGGCGTGTTGATGGGTGTTGGGACGTGTTGAGGCGTGTTGATGGGTGTTGGGACGTGTTGAGGCGTGTTGATGGGTGTTGAGGCCTACTGATGGGCGTTGAAAGGTGTTGAGACGTCTGGAGGGATGTTGAAGGGTTTTGAGGTGTGTTGGTGGTTGTCAAGATGTGTTAATGGGTGTTGAGGCATGTTGATGGGTGTTGTGGTGTGTTGATGGGTGTTATGGTGTGTTGATGGATGCTGAGGCTTGTTGATTGGTGTTGATGGGTGTTAACTGATTTTGAGCCATGTTGGTGGGTGTTCTGGTGTGCAGATGGGTGTTGATGGATATTGGGACGTGTTGATGTGTGCTTATGGGTGTTGAGGCCTGTTGATGGGTGTTGAAATGTGTTGAAACGTCTGGAGGGATGTAGAAGGGTTTTCAGGTGGGCGTCAAGATGTGTTGACGGGTGCTGAGGCGTGTTGACGGGTGTTGAAAGGTGTTGAGGTGTTGAGGCGTCTTGATGGATGTTGAAGCGTGTTTGTTGGTGTTAAAGGGTGTTAAGTGGTGTTGAGGGGGTCCCTTACTTCAATTGCGTAGCGTTGCTGGAGGTCACCCATGACAGCATCCTTGCCCGGGAGGGATACCAGGATGCAGGTGCTGCTGTTGGTGACTACCAGTAAATCCTGAAAGTAAATCAAAAAGATAAGTGTGTCTGTGTTTGTGTATGCCTGCTTGTTCTAATCTTGGCTAATGTCTGTTTCACACTCAGTTTAACCCCACTCAGACACAGTATACGGACTTCGAACCGACCAGTCCTTGTTTTAGTCCCTAATGCCGAGGACCCGTGAGGATCTGGGGTAGAATAGGCCTCAGGAAACCATGCTTGCCGTAAGAGGCGACTATGCTTGTCGTAAGAGGCGACTGACGGGATCAGGTGGTCAGGCTCGCTTACTTGGTTGATGCAGGTCATCGTATCCCAATTGCGTGGATCAATGCTCATGATGTCAATCACTGGATTGTCTGGTCCAAACATTTTTTACAGACCGCTGTCATATAGTTGGAATATTGCTGAGTGTGGCGTTAAACAACAAACAAACAAACAAAACAAACAAACCTAATGCTGAGCGTCAAGCAAGTACAATATTTTAACCTCTTTTAGATTGACGCGGCCAGGGATCGAACTGCCGTCTTTTTCGCTCTCCTGGCAGACAGTCTATCCACTAGACCACGGAGGTAGTCAATTTGTTTTGGGGAACCTTTTCGCTTGACTTGCTTGAGGGAGTATGGTTTTACGTCGCTTTTAGCAGGGGGACACCTGACTGGGGCTTCACACATTGTAGCCATATGGGGAATCGAGCCCGAAAATTTAGCGTGACGAGCAAACATTTTTATCACCAGACCATTCACCCACCTTGCTGGGTTTAATGGTGTGCTGTGGTTTCCAAGGAATTGTTTTGCACGGGTGTCTTGAAGCGGAAACGTCACCCCATTAGTTACAATATCAAACAGTCGGCTTCTAACTTCTAACTTTCACTTTAGCCATACGTGTTTCCGTCTTTTTCAGAACACTTGACTTGTCTTTGCACGTGTTTGTGAGGGTGCCAGAATACGATCACCTTTTCGCGAACACGTGGTATCATCGCTAATTGATAGTTATTCATAAACTCATGCTTATGATTTAGTCGGAATCGTACAATAGATATTTCATTTGATGATGGAAATGGTTTTGTCGCTTTTATCTAACAACATATTTTTTGGTTAAAACCAAAATAAATGTCTTAAAATATACCCCCCTGAGAAGTCATACGCGTGAAGTAATTACATTCCGGAGGAGACATGCACGTGAAGTCATTAAAATACTAGACCCGTGAAGATCCAATCTCATTAAAATCTGATCTAAGTTCTCGCTGCCGCTAAACAAAGATCTTAGGACATCCCATTACGGGTCACGTCAGAACGACCTTTCGCGAACTTTGACCGACCACTGAAATGACTAACAAGAAGTCGACATCAGCCAATTAGAAAGCAGCTTTCTCGAGCTTTACGGCACTCGTTTCAACCTGGTGACTTCCATTTCAGACAACGCTTGAAAAGTATGTTGACACAGTTCTCGATTAATATTTTGAAAACTGAACAAACGAACATTCCGGAATGTCTTATATATGGTTGCGATTGTATGGCAGTGCTTCCCGCGTACTGTGCAACGCCTCCTCCATTCAAATGTGATCCCACGGAAGCGAGAGAAAGACGATAATTTTGACGAAATCAGTCGTATGGGCCGTAACTGTCGTACGGAATACCCCGTGTTAACGTTTTCGAGGTTGCATGATTTGAAAACACATTCCGACTGTCACTTATACGATCGGGTAAGCGACGCTTTGATTGGTCGGATGAAAGGTCGTTCTGACGTGACCCGTAATGGGATGTCCTCAGATCTTTGTTTAGCGATAGCGAGGACTAAGATCTGATTTTAATGAGATTGGCGAAGATCAGGGTTTTTAATGAGATTGGTGAAGATCAGGGTTAGAAAAGGTCTTCAGCAACCCATGCTTGTCGTAATAGTTGGCAACGCTTGTCGTAAAAGGCGACTAACGGGATCGGGTGGTCAGGTGACTTGGTTGATGATTCATGTCATTGTATTCCAATTGCATGAATCGATGGCCATGATATAAATCACTGGATTGTTTGGTCTAGACTCGATTATTTACAGACCGCCGTCATATAGCTGGAATATGGCTGAGTACGACGTTAAACAACAAACAAACATTAAAATATCAGGCTTCAAAGAAGTTAACATTATTGTTGATGTCAAGAGATGTAATTCTAAAACCTAGTTATATGAACAAAAATACAATACAGTTGTACCATTCTATCTACTTTAGTGATTTAGCCCGGCCCTTTACCAGGCAATGCCGAGTAGGTGTGATGAGTATTGGCGACATTTTCTTCACATCAACAAACAACACTAATGTTGTTTATATAGAGCCAAACCTCCACACCCAGAAGATAACAATAAACCACAAAATACACATACAAAACAAACCGGGGGACATCATGAACTGACTTTCACTTTGTGTGGGTTCATTGAAGTATGAACCTTCATAGAGTGAGGGCCAAACTCTATTAACCTCGGAGCTTGCTTTTCTTCGTATTTATTCACTAGGATGGGTCGTATCAGGGATGTTCTTAATATAATGCAGGTTAACCCTTTGACTTATACCAGTGTATGCTGAAACGCTATATATCACTTAATAATGGTGTTAGTATCTTCACCAAAACGTCGCATGCGTTGTAATATGATCATATGTCCACAGAACTATCTCCCTTGGTCATCATTCCAACTTAAATATCCACCCTTTAGGATAAAACGCTAAGTTCAAGATAAAAGGGTCTAAATGATCAGAAACCACGCTTTTCTATTTACACATCCCAGGGAATTCCAAGGGTCTTCCCCAAGAAGTAGAACGTCGGTGTTACTATTACTTACTGAATAGTAAACTGTAACGTTAAAAGAGGCGTGTCTTTAGTCTTGTAGAGACTTGAAAGATGACAAAGAAGGGGCTTATGTGAGGCTGGGTGGGAGAGTCCCACAGCGAAGCAGCTAGCGGCGTATTGGAAACAACGTAGACACAATTTATGGTTAACAACTTCTTTAATACTGTAAAGGCGACGTTTCGGTTCAGATCCTTATACCGTTGTCAAGCAAGACTGAATGGGGGACATTGTACAGAATATTGATGGAAGGTGGGGGATTAACAGTGGGGGAACAACAGTTGCATCCATGAGTGGGATAATAAGAGTAGGTAATGACAACAGAAGGATAATACTGTCACAACATGATGGACAGAGAACACATGGGTGAAAACCAATGGGACATGAAGCCAATTAAACAGGATAAGTCTGCACAGGTGTGGTGATTATTGCTTTATGATTTCATAGCATTGGAAAGACCGAGCACCAAATGACTTGAGTCTGTAAGACGAGAAGTTGAGTTGGAGATGGTCACTTGGTCGTATTTTCATTTACCAATATGCTACTATTGTACAATCCCGAAGCAGGAAAGGATAGGGACGTTCCAAGCCGTTCACAATGAGTATGTTTTTCACCCAATCGGGAAAGACATCAGACAGGTTCCGTGAATAGGCTGCGCTTGCCCTAGTCTGAGTGTAGCGCAAACGCAACCTACCCAGGAACCCAGGCTGGAAATACATTGACCGCCTCAAAAGCAACGTGTGGAATACCTCCAAGTAGACTTATACTTACAGCGTATGAGTGATATTCAAATGTGTAGCCATGGATTCGATCACGGTTGTAATTATTGGGATGCTGGGCCTAAAAACAAAACAAAATTTTATTTCAGACAAAACACTCCAGCGAGTGTGCAAAGCAAATAGAACAGCTTGGTCAAGGTGTGAAAGCTACATGGAACCGTCGCTGGGTGCAGTAAACCAGTTTTCTTGTTTTTAAAGTTGGAAGTTTTCTTATCAACATTTAGCATGATTTCTGCCATATCAGGCGTCAAAAGGTCGAGACGTTTACCACTCTGGTGACACCCGTGAAGCCCCGGGTAGAATAGGTCTTCAGCAACCCATGCTTATCGCAAAAAGCGACTACGCTTGTCGTAAGAGGCGACTAACGGGATCGGGTGGTCAGGCTCGCTGACTTGGTTGATGCATGTCATCGTGTCCCAATTGCGTGGATCGATACTAATATCAATCATTCGATTGTATGGTCCAGACTCGATTATTTACAGACCACAGTCAGTTTGCTGGAATATTGCTGAGTGCGGCGTTAAACAACATAGAAACAAACAAACAAACAAACCATCTGGTGAAACCCACCAGCACGGCTGGAAAACTATGGATCATAATCAAGGCGTAACAGTGATTTGAATACATGATTAGCGGATCCTCATTCGACTAAGGGACGCAACTCTGCATGTGCCCCAGTGCTACTATAGTTATTATGTATGATTTGAGAATGAGACTGAAATCCTACCACAACAAACCCAAAGAGCGCAAGAGCAAAGACCGCCTTCATATTTCCACGGATATGTGTCCTAAAGAGACGGTACAATCCAATGAGTCATATTTTATATGTTAGATAAGATAAGTCCTCCGACATAAGATCGTGACGGTTGAAGTCCCAAAATAGAATATTTTTATAAAAATTAATCAATTACACCAAACAAAAAATGCCTTTAATGCATTGTCATTCATTAACACATACACGATTTAGCTCCACTTTAATTTCATAATTCGCAGTTTGGTTTTTTTAACGACTGATAACCATGATAACAGATCCATTGGTAGGTCCCCCTTTGAGTGAGTGAGTGAGTGAGTTGGGTTTAACGCCGCTTTTAACACTTTTCCAGTTATATCACGGCGTGTCAGCTTAATGTTGGAGGAAAGCCCGAAGTGATGCAGGTCTAAGACGTGTACCACTTCGGTGAAACCCACGAGCACGGGTATGGTGCTGACAAACCTAGAAACATAATTGGGGCGAACCGGGATTCGAACTCCCCCTTTGAAGTTATTCCTTGTGTGTACGTTTATTATTTGCATATATTAAAATTGTTACGGTTTTCATTTAGATTCGATACCTATAAGTTTAATTCCATTGGTATTTGAGACTGTTTTGAGGGTCGATGTATGTGGTTTCATTTGAAACAAGTATGTTAGTAAATAAAATAATGCACACTTTTGACGAGACCGTGGGAGGTGGACGGTGTGATGATCACGTGATCCCTGGGCGATTGAACGTGACCTTGTATATCTTATCTAGAAGTTATAGAATACCGAGCATGTTAATAATCTCTTCAAAGAGGAACAGGCTTAAATGATATTAAAGGTGACAGAACAACAATTTGTGTAACCATTTCTTTGGTACCACTATTAGTTATACATGTGATTATACACAATGCCCGAATCCTCTTTGTTTGTTTGTTTGTTTGTTTGTTTGTTTGTTTGTTTGTTGTTTCATGCCGCACTAAGCAATATTCCAGCTGTATGACGGCGGTCTGAAGATAATCGAGTCTGGACCGAAAAATTTAGTAATTGACAACATGAGCATCGATCTACGCAATTGGGATACGACAACATGCATCAGCCATGTCAGCGAATCTGATCCTGTAAGTCGCCTCTTACGACTAGCGTAGTCGCCCTCTTACGGCGAGCATGGGTTGCTGAAGAGCTATTCTATCCCGGATCTTCACGAATCCCTCTTTTTCAACGCATTCTTGTCACAAATGTTTGTGTGTGCGTGAGTTGTTTTCAGTGTTTGTGTGTGCGTGAGTTGTTACACGTGTTTGTGTGTGTCTGTGTGAGTTGTTGCACGTGTTTATGTGTGTGTGTGTTTGTGTGTCTGCGTAAGTTGTTATACGTGTTTGTGTGTGTACAGGTGACGGAATTCGCTGTGGAGATGCGTCTTTTGGGCACGCCTAATACCTTTGATCGTGGGTTTCGAATCCCGGTTCGCCCCGATTATGTTTCTAGATTTGTCAGCACCATATCTGTTCGAGGCTTTCACCAAAGGGATAAATGTCCGAGACCTGCATCACTTTGGGCTTTCCTCCCACGATCACACGATCATAGGTTCTTGCGTGCCCAAGGGACGCCACTCTGCACAGTCATTTTCGGCGCTTAAGACGATTGGGCCACCCGTGCCCCACAAGGAGACGAAGGATGTGTTTTACATCTGGCTTCTTAGGCTGCATGGGTGTTGGGTTCCCCTTACGATGTAATCTGCTTGAGGTCACACATGCACTGTCATTATCGTTTTGGGGCAGTCGGGTAGCCTAGTGGTTAAAGCGTTCGCTCGTCACGCCGAAGACCCGGGTTCGATTCCCGACATGGGTACAATATGTGAAGCCCATTTCTGGTTTCCCACGCCGTGATATTGCTGGAATATTGCTAAAAGTGACGTAAAACCATACTCACTCACTCACTCATTATCGTTGCATCAGTGACAAGAGCGATAGCTGATGGAATTCCTATATTGACTTGTATCACTAGTCCCCGTATTCTATTCAGATGAACGATTGACAATTGAACGTGATATAAATGAAATATTTTCGAGCCGCGTTTATTCCACACAAACAAAGTCTACCCGTGAAGATCCGGGTTAGAATAGGTCTTCACCAACCTATACTTGCTGTCAAAGGCGACTATGCTTGTCAGAAGAGGCGACTAACGAGATCAGGTGGACAGGCTCGCTGACTTGGTTGATGCATGTCATCGTATCCCAATTGCGTAGGTCGATGCTCATGATATCAATCCCTGGATTGTCTGGTCCAGACTCCATAATTTTAAGACCGCCGTGATATAGCTGGAATATTGCTGAGTGCGGCGTTCAACAAGAAACAACATCATTTAAATCACCAAACACAGTAACTGTATCACCGAGAGATAATTAAAAAATAAGTATATCATTATGCGCGTGTCCAGAACCGTCAAGTGGTATGTACACACACCGACAGTAAGTCACCGCCTCCGTGGTCTAGTGGTAGAGCGTTCATCCGGAAAGCGGAAGGTCCGGGGTTCGATCCCCAGCCGCGTCATACCAAAAGACGTTAAAAGATGGTACATGTTGTTACCCTGTCTGGCGCTCGGCATTAAGGGGCTAAAACAAGGACTGGTCGGCTCGGAGTCTGTATACTGTGTCTGAGTGGGGTATTCATGTTAAATTGTGGCATGGTATCTCAGTGGGCTAGCACTATAAAATCGGCATTAGCCCAGGCTAGTACAAGCAGACACACACACGTTCATGCACGTCGTAAAAAAAGCGGAACAATCTTGAACGCGGCGTTAAACCCCATTTCAGCCCACCTCACACTAAGTAAGCGTCTTGAACAATATCTTGAAATGTCTTGTAAAATCTATAATATTACTAACTATCTCTTATTCCTTACTGCAATCCCCGAGCCACCTGTTTTTCTCGCAGAGTTGGGTCTGTGCTTCAGGTACAATGTGAAATTATTATTATATTATCATCATCATCATCATCATCACCATGTGCATTGTCTTTGGGAGTTGTTGCATTATCGTCAGAACCATTTTAGTTAACATCGTCGTCGTGTAGAACATTCTCTGCATTAATAAACAACCCGTAAGGATGCGTCAGAATTGGTCTTCAGCAACCAATGTTTGTCGTAAGGGGCGACTTTGCTTGTCGTAAGAGGCGACTAACGGGATCGGGTGATCAGGCTCGCTGACTTGCTTGATGCATGTCATCGTGTCCCAATCGCGTAGATCGATACTCATGGTGTCAATCACTGGATTTTCTGGTCCAGACTCGATTATATACAGATCGCCGTCATATATTGCTGAGTGCGGCGTTAAAGAAGAAACAAAACGCTCAAAAACGATTTGGGTGACCGCTGAGGTCGAGGCTGATTTGGGTGGCCCCTTCACGAGGAGACAGGAACAACAAACAACAACCAATAAACAAACAAAGGCTTATATGTTTGCTGTTACACCTTTATTAGTCTCTTGTTCTTGATCCAGGTTAAAGGTTGTCAAGACTTTTTACAGAACGTAAAACGTCAACTGCTTTGCTGCGGATCTTCTGCCCAGTTCTTTCCAAATCATGGCTGTCGTTTATGATTTCGTCCCCAAGTCGTTTCATTTTTTTCGCCTTCCGTTGTATGTCATCGTTGCTCTTTTTCCTCAATTGACAGATTTTCTTCCTATATTTTTTTATATATTTCTTTTGTTCCTTTGAAGTCATTTTTCCCCAGTTTTTGGGTTCCGGTAGGTTGTGCCTTTTCAAGAATCCTCCCTTGTGCCCTTTTATACCATGATCCTCGTCATCCTCATCCTCATCCTCATCCTCATCATCCTCATCTTCTTCGTCATGCTCGTCATCTTCTTCGTCATGCTCGTCATCTTCTTCGTCACCCTCGTCTTCTTCTTCGTCATCCTCGTCATCTTCTTCATCATACTTGTCAACGTCGTCATTATCTTCGTAATGCTGCTCAACGTCGTCGTGTTCCTCTTTGTCGTGCGTTACCTGGCCAGGTGACCTGAATAGATTTTGAGATCCCCCGGGCTGTCCATCTGGTGACCACATGAGACCAACTATTTGGCAATTATTTTAAGAGACGGAAATAATTTCAGCCACTGATTCAAGAAACGCATATCTTCCTCAAAAAGATGAGGCGAACACATTTATATTTATTAACAAAACGAAAAAAGGACATCCCTCATCATTGTTATAAAACCTGAGGCAAATGTTTTTTTAAAGTATTTTTAGGAGTACAAAATGCTCATATGTCGATCTGCTTAGTCAGGTTACAGCATGCTTGTGTTGGATTAATCTTAACAATGCAGGGTTCAGGTCATAATAGGGGACACAGTCGTCCAAAGCGTCGCAATTCGCTGTGCAGAGTTGCGTCCCTTGGGCACCAGAAACCTATTGTTGTGGGTTCGAATCCCGGTGTAGGAGGCTCAAATGACACCCCCGTCGTAGGCTCAGATAACTCCCCGGACTCAAGTGACTCCCCCATTTGTTTTGAAGAATACACATGTTTTGACACTAATTGTGCAACAGTCTGTGAATGTCGTACACAAATAATATATTTTCGATGATACAGCACCGTATTTTCGATGATTGCACTAAATATTTTTTTACAAATTGTGAAATTACCAGGTTTTTGGTATAATAAGATTTTATGTGAATACATTTTAGGGACATTATCAAGTCATTTCGTTAAGACTTTTTAAATACTATTACACATCAGCAACTTTATTTTCTGACATTATGGCTGGATATGATGTGATATTGACGCTTTACTGCAATATTTGTTTAACTTAGAAAAAAATTGAATTAATTTTTCTGTTTGATTTACAAACTTTGTACTTCAAATTATGCACCTGATGTTTGATTGTAATATCTGTAATATTTTTGAAAAAGATAATTATATTGGCACTATGACCTGTTTGGCAATCTTATTTCTTCGTGTAAAATGTTGATATTATGCATGCACGATCATTATGTAAAAAAATTAACGGAAATCTGTATTTTTTAAAACATATGAAAATAATTACTTTACCTTATGTGATATGTTAGTAAGTTTCCTTTTTGAGGTTATTTTTATCGTCAAATTACCTTAAAGTGAAGTTTAAGTTTGCTTTCTGTTCACTCGGCGCGGTCATTGTTTAATTGGGTAATATGTGTTTGATACACTTGTGTCTCTTTATACACGAAAACTAATCGTCTTGTAAAAATAGAATCTTTTATGGGTTTTATTAAAGTTACCTATTGTTCCTAATGCAGCGACTCGCCCATTGCAATACACTAAATCTCGGCAACTGCGCATTTTAAACTGTGAGTAACTAAAATCGGATTTTACCTACCAGGTGAATTTTATAATAAGCTGTTCAACGTGGTATTTGTTGTCCGTGAATCAAAATGTACCAAGTATATGGGGAATTTGTTTTAACTGGCCGGAAGAGGTCATATAATAAAAATGCGTGTCTGTGATATTAAAAGGAGGTGTGAATGGATAGTCTGTTTGACAAAGCTAACAAATGGTAGTCATAATCTCACAACCACTATGCACTGTATAAACATTTTCTCTGTTCTTTCAATCTTAACCCTTTACCTGTAATTGACAAGATCGCATTGACGAATGTTGCCTCATCGATCAATATTGTTTTAACAATATAAGTAGGGTCGTCTACTGGGATTTTGAGCAGGAAATTCTCATAATGACTTGCAATGTTGAAAAACAGCTTTGTGGAGATTAACTTCTCGTATATCATGAGAACTATAGAGGCGATTAATAATTTTAATTCAAAACAAGGGGAGTCATTTGGGCCCAGTAGGGGAGTTAGCTGAGCCTTGAGGGAGTGTTTTGAGCCTGACAAGGGCAGTCATGAATGCCTAGGTCCATATGACTCTTGATTCAAATTATGGGGAGTCGTTTGAGCCTTCTACACCGGTTCGCATCACGTCAGGCTTTCCTCCCACATTGAGCTGACTTGCCGTGATATAACTGGAATAATGTTCAAAGCGACGTAAAACACTACTCACTCACTCACTCACTCACTCACTCACATGATAATAATATATGAAAGATTTGATTGGTTGGTTTGTTGTTTAACGCCGTACTCAGCAATATTCCAGCCATATGACGGCGGTCTGTAAATAATGGAGTCTGGACCAGACAATCCAGTGATTAATATCATGAACATCGATCCACGCAATTGGAATCGATGACATGCATCAACCAAGTCAGCGAGCCTGACCACCCGATCCCGTTAGTCGCCTTTCACGACAAGCATAGTCGCCTTTTACGGCAAGCATGGGTCGCTGAAGACCTATTCTACCCCGGATCTTCACGGGTAGTATATGAAAGAATTGATATGATATTAATGTGAATAACAATTAAATGTATGTTGTTCAATTAATTTAAATTAAGGTGGATGCGACGATAATTACTTTCAACTGGCTTAGCTTCTCCCTGTCCAATTAGGACGACACACGCAGCGAGCAGGTACCACTTCATTGTCTCCTGGCTTGTCTGCTGCAAACACATTATCTCAAATCATATAGTTCAAGTCATTATTTCTTGCTTGGGTTTATTTTTTCTTGTTCATTTTTTTATGCCTGTGGTGGATGATGGATTCAGATGAGATAAACACAAAAGAATGACGTCTTTGCTGATTAATTCCCCGTGTTATATTATAGGAGAGTAGTGGGCTTTTATGTTGCTATTTTTTGTTGTTTAACGCCGCACTCAGCAATATTCCAGCTATATGACGGCGGTCTGTAAATAATCGAGTCTGGACCAGACATTTCGGTGATTGACATCATGAGCTTTGATCCACAAAATTGGGATCGATGACATGCATCAACCAAGTCAGCGAATCTGACCACCCGATCCCGTTAGTCGCCTTTTACGACAAGCATAGTCGCCTTTTACTGTAAGCATGGGTTGCTGAAGACCTATTCTACCCCGGATCTTCACGGGTGGGGTTTTATGTGATTGGAGCCAGTATGTGGTTGGAATGGTGTGGCTTTCATTACTCTCATTGAAAAGAGTGCCCCCATCCTAAATTCATTGTGTCCTTTCTGTCTTTGATGAGAGCTCGAGGCAGACCAAGGAACGCTATCTATTTCAAACACTTGGGGGGCGGTCGGGTAGCCTAGTGGTTAAAGCGTTCGCTCGTCACGCCGAAGACCCAGGTTCGATTCCCGACATGGGTACAATGTGTGAAGCCCATTTCTGGTGTCCCCCGCCGTGATATTGCTGGAATATTGCTAAAAGCGGCGTAAAACCATACTCACTCACTCACTCAAACACCTGGTGTCATTGGTGTCGCCGATGAGAGCTGTGAGCACGACAAGACACGCCACCCATTTCAAACACTAGTGGCCATAACTGTTGATGAGTGCTCGAGGCAGGCCAAGGAACGCCAGATATTCCAACGCCAGGTGTTATTCCTGCCCGTGTTAAGGGTGAATGTTTGTTGTATGTATTTTTTGTACAAGGTTTTAATGTCCTTGGACACTGTACTAATTGTCTTGAGTCGTTAGTGTTCACTCAGTGTTTCTTCAACAATACATTTCAACGACAATCTTGTACAGAACTGTTATCCCTAACTCCGCGTAGACATCCCATAGGACAGATTTACTGTTACTGTAGTAATATCAAAGAATCGGATGGTCCTTAACTTCTATTGAGTAGTATACATTTAATAAGTATCATAACACAGTCGATATCATAGCAACTTCATTATTAATTTACATATATGGCGTCTCCATCGACAATCGACATAAATATTATTTTGAAACCGCGGCGACAGAAGCAACACGGGGACGTTGCCAACTACAACTACAACAACAACCGTATTGTTAAAATCTTGTATAGAACTGTTATTCCTAACTCCGCGTAGATATCCCATAGAAGAACAGATTTACTGTAGTAATATCAAAGAATCGGATGGTCCTTAACTTCTATTGAGTAGTATACATTTAATAAGTATCATAACACAGTCGATATCATAGCAACTTCATTATTAATTTACATATATGGCGTCTCCATCGACAATCGACATAAATATTATTTTGAAACCGCGGCGACAGAAGCAACACGGGGACGTTGCCAACTACAACTACAACAACAACCGTATTGTTAAAATCTTGTATAGAACTGTTATTCCTAACTCCGCGTAGATATCCCATAGAAGAACAGATTTACTGTAGTAATATCAAAGAATCGGATGGTTCTTAACTTCTTTTAAGTAGTATACATTTAATAAGTATCATAACACAGTCGATATCATAGCAACTTCATTATTAATTTACATATATGGCGTCTCCATCGACAATCGACATAAATATTATTTTGAAACCACGGCGACAGTAGCAACACGGGGACGTTGCCAACTACAACTACAACAACAACCGTATTGTCTTTCTAATATGCAGAACCGTCACGGACTCAAGTGTTCCAGTTTTTCACTGCCTGTCAACTTATTGTGGGAGGATATTTGAAAATATCTTAAGTTAACGATATTACGTCCAAGAAATGAACTTTATTGGTTCTTTGTCAGAACGCAAAGAATACTTCCACTTGTTTTTATATTTTTTTAACATTTTAAAAAATTTAAAAAATCTCATAATATACAACTTAAGATGTGTTTCGTAGACACCGTATCTTTGAAAATAAATAGTTTCCTTTTCCATCACAAATTTACATTTCAAACATAGTTTGGTTGGGGCCATGTCGTTGCAAATTCATTTCAGTTACACCAGTCTTCATTAAACCAATTTATTTTACCAAAACTAACCAAGCCACAGATTACATTTCACAACTTGTTGTAGGAATTAATGATGGTCACATAGACATAATCAAATCTAACAATAGTTAATTCAATTACATAAAAAAAACTCAGCATACATGTACTTTCTTTTGCCCCTCAGTTTATAATATTATACAAATATCAAATATCTCAGTTTCATAACTTATAATAAACGTCTATTATTGCTGTAATTGCCGTATTTTTAATTGCTTGCATTACTGTCAGATCTGTCTTAGGTCTATAACATAAGTTGCAATTGGTTTGTTCAGCAGACCGACAAAATATAAATGAAATGTGGAAAAAAACTTGAATTAATTTGACAGTTTTTTCGAGAGGTGACAATAGCGTATGCCGTGGGGTCACGGTGAAACGCACAAGTGACCGCGACTGACCACCCGATGCACTTGGGCACCCCTTAATAAGCGAAGACAGCTGGGTATCATTGCTAAACCTGAGTGAGTGAGTGAGTTGGGTTTAACGTCGCTTTTAACAAAGATGGCTTGGTATCATTGCTAAACCAGAGTGGGTGAGTGAGGTTTAAAGCCACTTTTAACAGTATTCCAGTTATATCAAGGCGTGTCAGTTTAATGTGGGAGGAAAGTCCCGAAGTGATGCAGGTCTCAGACGTTTACCACTTCGGTGAAACCCACGAGTGCTGACAAACCTAGAAACATAATCTGGGAGAACCTGGTTCAAACCCACGATCATAGGTTTCTGGCGTGCCCAAGGGACGCAACTCTGCATAGCGAATTGCGACGCCTCAGACGACAAGGCCAATCGTTCCCACTAAACCAGACTGAGTGAGTGAGGTTTTACGCCGCTTTTAGCAATATTCCAGCAATATCACGGCGGGGGACACCAGAAATGGGCTTCATACATTGTACCTATATGGGGAATTGAATCCGAGTTTTCGGCGTGACGAGCGAACACTTTAACCACTAGGCTACCCGACCGCCCCTGTTTGATAGTGATTCATACTCACATACTCACATGTCGGAATGGTACAATGGCCTCTGCTTTTAGTAGCTATTTCTTATGACTATGAAAAAGGTTTTCTGACTTTTATTCCATGTAAAATGTGGTGATGGGAAAGTTGGGTTTCGCGTAGCTTTGAAGAATATTGCATTTATATAATAATGTCAACTTGAGGTGTGAAAACATTGAACACGTAGTCATTTACCGCTTTGACATATCCCATGGGCAATGATATTTTCCTGATACATGATACATGGAACCCACCATCCATGTATCATGTTGCGACTGTCGGTACAGCTTCTGTACCATCTGTCCCCATTAATGGAGAATAAAACAGACAAAATAAGTCCTCATAAAATTTTCATATTTGACTGCTATGACAACAATAAAAAATACACTTAATCCAAAAACTCAATAACCTCCAGGCTACCCCACCGCCCCTATTTATATATGCAAATTCACGGATGAAGCATTAGATTAAGAATACTTACCTTTCGTTCTTGGAAAATAGACAGTGAGCTGGTTGCTGAATCACACACTTTTATAGATGGAGATTTGAATGTGGTTGATATGTTTATATCACATGGCATTAGTGATACAGGTAAACATTATCAATAAATAATCACTCATTTTAGCGAAATTACCGATATTGTGTCTTTGCATAATTCATTGTCAGCCTATACTCTTCGAAAATGTAGGGGATCATGAAATGTATATGTTAATACCAAGTGAGTGAGTGAGTGAGTTGGGTTTAACGCCGCTTTTAACAATATTCCAGTTATATCACGGCGTGTCAGCTTTATGTGGGAGGAAAGCCCGAAGTGATGCAGGTCTAAGACGTTTACCACTTCGGTGAAACCCACGAGCACGGGTATGGTGCTGACAAACCTAGAAACATAATCGGGGCGAACCGGGATTCGAACCCACAATCATAGGTTTCTGGCGTGCCCAAGGGACGCAACTCTGCACAGCGAATCGCGGCGCCTTAGACGACTGGGCCACCCGTGCCCCCTGTTAATACCAAGTAATACCAGGACACGAATAAGTGACCCGTAAAGATCCGGGGTAGAATAGGTCTTCAGCAACCCATGCTTGCCGTAAAAGGCGACTATGTTTATTGTTATGAACGGCTGGTCGGGTTCGCTGACTTGGTTGATGCATGTCATCGTGTTCCAGCTGTGTGGATCGCTGCTCATGATGTCAGTCACTGGAATGTCTGGTAGAGATTCGATTATTTACAGACCGCCGTCATATAGCTGGAATAGTGTTGAGTGTGGCGTTAAACAACAGACGAACAAACGAACAAACAAACAAACAAGAATAAGTGTTGACGACAAACATCCTATGCAAGAACGTTTGTCTGTAAAAATTAACACCAAAACGGGGCGGTCGGGTAGCCTAGTGGTTAAAGCGTTCGCTCGTCACGCCGAAAACCCGGGTTCGATCCCCGAAATGGGTACAATGTGTGAAGCCCATTTCTTGTGTCCCCCGCCGTGATATTGCTAGAATATTGCTAAAAGCGGCGTAAAATCAAACTCACTCACTCACTCAATAACACCAAAACACATTCTACAGTTCGTACGAGAGTCGCGCAGTCATTGCTGATTGTGATACTTTCAAGAAGGGTCAATTAATCTCTGTTGACCATTATTTCTGTCAATCTTATTGAATCTACTTATCATACAGTTGTGATGTACTTGATTTCATACATTGTTGTCATTGAGCGCCTATGGGCTATCGGCAAGGTGGAAACTGACAGAAGTGGGCGTGACATCCCATTACGGGTCACGTCAGAACGACCTTTCGCGAATTTTGACCGACCAATGAAATGACTGACAAGAAATCGACATTAGCCAATTAGAAAGCAGCTTTCTCGAGCTTTACGGCACTCTTTCAACCTGGCGACTTCCATTTCAGACAACGCCTAACACTAGTTTCAAACTGGCGACTACGCTTCGAAACATATTTTGACGTATTCTCGATTAAAAAAATTAAAACCGATAAGAAGAACATTCTGGAATGGCTTCTAGATGGCCTAGATTGCATGGATATAATCATAAAACCCGTAACTGTCGTTCAGAATAGCCCGTGTTAAATATTTCGTGGTTGCATGATTAGAAAACACATTCCGACTGTCACTTTCATGATCTGGTAAGCGACGCTCTGATTGGTTGGATGAAAGGTCGTTCTGACGTGACCCTTAATGGGATGTCCTCAGATCTTTGTTTAGCGATAGCGGGAACTAAGATCTGATTTTAATGAGATTGGCAGTGACATTACCTTCAATGTTTCACAGTCTGTTTATAAGGCACCAACAAACCCAAAATGTTGACGATCGACCCGGTTCAGGGCGTCCCAGGTCAACGATAAGAGTACAGGATCGATTGATCGAAATCAGGCTCTACGAAATCGAGCTATACGGCGAATCAAATATTTGGAACTCACTACCTACTGAATACATTAATGCCAGTAGATGGAAGATTTAAAAGTTTTATAAAAAACAATGATAAGAATGGTATATACTTTGATACAAATTATGGATCAAGATTCTGTCAGGTTATACACTCCCGTCTCAGGCTTGGCTGCAGTGATCTTAACGCCGACACATTTGCCAGTTTTATGTCCGACGGCCCGTTGTGGCTATCACACGGAAGATGCACTTCATTTCTTTCTTACGTGTCCCTTAAACAGTACATTAAGGCAAAATATGCATATTTCGTATTAAAATTCAGTTTGAAATGAGGGCACAGTTTTATCTATCTTCTTGCCGATTTAGAGATTTTATCTGTCTTTTTTTTTTTTTTTTTAATGTTGGCTTTGCTATATGATACTGCGATGACGTTGTACTGGATGTAAATAATAACGTAGCTGTAGTTACGAAAGATAATCGAGTAATAAAACACTTACAGAACAATAATTATCTTTAATGTCAATTATATAATGTATGCTATTTATCATGTCACTTTTAATACGTTGTAATTTGTATGTGTATCATGTTTGGGAGAGGCATTCAGATAAGCAACGGATTAACGAGTGTCGGATTAACGAGACTTGACTGTATTTGCTTGTTTGCCAATCCCTCCACTTTATGAAAATAAATAGGTTTATATAAACTCCACTCCATATTGTACAAGGACGGGTCACTGGACAGTACTTTCGGGACAACATGCAGACACCCTGCGTTGTCCCGTTTGCAAGGCGTGCGGGTCGACGTTTTGTCTTTCAGGATGACAACGCCCGTGCTCACCGTGTACTAGTCGTCTATGCTCACCCCAGCAGAATGCCATGGTCAGCAATGACGACAGACTTTTCCCTATTGAACAAGTTTGAGTCATGATAGGGAGACGTGTGTGTCAAAGTCATTCGAATGCAAGACCTGGTCACATTGGTGTGTTTTCGTGGCAATTACAGACTGTCGCTTCAGTGTGGGGTTGTCCTGTATGTGGTGAGTGAGTGAGTTGGTGGGTATGTGAAAAGTGAGTGTATGTGTGTGTGTAGGGTGTGATGTGTGTGTGTGTGTGTGTGTGTGTGTGAGATATGTGTGTGTGTGTGTGTGTGTGTGTGTGTGTGTGTGTGTGTGTGTGTGTGTGTGTGTGTGTGTGTGTGTGTGTGTGTGTGTGTGTGTGTGTGTGTGTGTTTATGTGTGTGTGTTTATGTGTGTGTGTTTATGTGTGATGTAAGTGTGTCTGTAGGGGTAAATGTCGGGATGTAGTGTGTCTTTGTTGTGTGTATGGGTCTGTGAGTGTGAGGGTGTGATGTGTGTGTGTTAAAGTGTGATGTTAATGTGCCTGTCGCATCAATGTAAGGATGTGGTGTATGTGTGTGTGGTGGTGTGTGTAGGGATGTGTGTGTGTAGGGATATGTGTGTGTGTGTGTGTATTTGTGGAGGGGTGATGTGTGTGGGGTGGGTGTGTGATGTGTATGTGTGTGAGGGGGAGGTGTTGGGGTGTGACGTGTGTGTGTAGGGGTGTGTGATTTGAGTGTATGCGTGTGTGTGGAGGGGTGAAGTGTGCGTGTGTGTGTGGAGGGGATGTAGGGTGTGTGGTGTCAGTGTGGGGGTGTCGTGTGTGTAGGGTTGTAATGCGTGTGTGTTTCTGATGTGTGTGTGTAGGGGTGTCATGTGTACTTGTGTGTAGGGATGTGATGTGTGTGTAGATGTGTGATGTGTATGTAGGGGTGTATTGTGTGTATAGAGGTAGGATATGTGTGTAGGGGTGTATTGTGTGTGTAGGGGTGTGATGTGTGTGTAGGGGTGTGATACGGTGTAGGGGTGTATTGTGTGTGTAGGGGTGTGATGTGTGTGTAGGGGTGTATTGTGTGTGTAGGGATGCATTGTGTTTGTAGGGGTGTATTCCGTGTGTAGGGGTGTGATGTGTGTGTAGGGGTGTATTGTGTGTGTAGGGGTGTGATGTGTGTGTAGGGGTGTGATGTGTGTGTAGGGCTGTGATGTGTGTAGGGGTGTGATGTGTGTGTAGGGGTGTATTGTGTGTGTAGGGCTGTGATGTGTGTGTAGGGGTGTATTGTGTGTGTAGGGGTGTATTGTGTGTGTAGGGATGCATTGTGTTTGTAGGGGTGTATTGCGTGTGTAGGGGTGTGATGTGTGTGTAGGGGTGTATTGTGTGTGTAGGGGTGTGATGTGTGTGTAGGGGTGTGATGTGTGTGTAGGGCTGTGATGTGTGTAGGGGTGTGATGTGTGTGTAGGGGTGTATTGTGTGTGTAGGGCTGTGATGTGTGTGTAGGGCTGTGATGTGTGTAGGGGTGTGATGTGTGTGTAGGGGTGTATTGTGTGTGTAGGGGTGTGATGTGTGTGTAGGGGTGTGATGTGTGTGTAGGGCTGTGATGTGTGTAGGGGTGTGATGTGTGTGTAGGGGTGTATTGTGTGTGTAGGGCTGTGATGTGTGTGTAGGGGTGTATTGTGTGTGTAGGGGTGTATTGTGTGTGTAGGGATGCATTGTGTTTGTAGGGGTGTATTGCGTGTGTAGGGGTGTGATGTGTGTGTAGGGGTGTATTGTGTGTGTAGGGGTGTGATGTGTGTGTAGGGGTGTGATGTGTGTGTAGGGCTGTGATGTGTGTAGGGGTGTGATGTGTGTGTAGGGGTGTATTGTGTGTGTAGGGCTGTGATGTGTGTGTAGGGCTGTGATGTGTGTAGGGGTGTGATGTGTGTGTAGGGGTGTATTGTGTGTGTAGGGCTGTGATGTGTGTGTAGGGGTGTGATGTGTGTGTAGGGGTGTATTGTGTGTGTAGGGATGCATTGTGTGTGTAGGGGTGTATTGCGTGTGTAGGGGTGTGATGTGTGTGTAGGGGTGTATTGTGTGTGTAGGGGTGTGATGTGTGTGTAGGGGTGTGATGTGTGTGTAGGGCTGTGATGTGTGTAGGGGTGTGATGTGTGTGTAGGGGTGTATTGTGTGTGTAGGGCTGTGATGTGTGTGTAGGGGGTGTATTGTGTGTGTAGGGTGTGATGTGTGTGTAGGGGTGTGATGTGTGTGTAGGGCTGTGATGTGTGTAGGGGTGTGATGCGTGTGTAGGGGTGTATTGTGTGTGTAGGGGTGTGATGTGTGTGTAGGGGTGTATTGTGTGTGTAGGGCTGTGATGTGTGTGTAGGGGTGTATTGTGTGTGTAGGGATGTGATTTGTGTGAAGGGGTGTGGTGTGTGTGTAGGGGTGTATTGTGTGTGTAGGGATGTGATTTGTGTGAAGGGGTGTGGTGTGTGGTGGGGTGCATTGTTTGTGTAGGGGTGTGATGTGTGTAGGGATGTATTGTGTGTGTAGGGGTGTGATGTGTGTGTAGGGGTGTATTGTGTGTGTAGGGGTGTATTGTGTGTGTAGGGGTGTGATGTGTGTGTAGGGGTGGGATGTGTCTGTAGGGGTGTGATGCGTGTGTAGGCGTGAATTTGTGTGTATGTAATGTATGTGTTTGTGTGGAAAGGGGGTGTTGGGTTGAATGTGTATCAATGTAACGTAAACAGAACCACTGTCCTTTTGTGTATTCAAACCATATCTTGAAAATACGAATAAATCGATTTATCTCGTATTCGACACAGACAAACTACTTATTTCAGATGTAGGGACTAATCTGCTGGGGTTGTACATTCGACAGCTTTATTTCACTGATTCCTATGTTGAGGGCATGTACTTGATCTGATAGACATTGTGGCGAAAACACTCGACTATAGCACGGATGTCCTGGATCTCGTGTCGGATCCTGTCGATGGAAGACACGACCTCTCCCTTGTGACTCATCATTTGGTTGTAGATTTCCTCCTGAAAAAATACAACACTTGACGTACTTTTATCTCATAGAGAGGGGCGTTTGATTGTAAAAAAGGCATATGATTTCACCGTATTAATAATGAGAGGGTGAGCGAGTAAGTGGCTGGATGAGTGAGTGTGTGTGTGTGTATGTGTGTGTGTGTGTGGTGAATGTGTGAGTGAGTGAGTGTGTGCATGCTATGAGTGAGTGGGTGGGTAAGTGGTGAGTGAGTGAGTGGGTGAGTGTGTGGATGATATGAGTGAGTAGGTGGGTATGTGGTGAGTGAGTTGGTGGGTGGGTATGTGGTGAATGAGTGAGTGGGTGGCTGATATGAGTGAATGAGTGAGTGGTAGGGTGTGTGAGTGAGTGGGTGGTAGGGTGAGTTTGTGGGTGGGTATGTGGTGAGTGAGTGAGTGAGTAGGTGGTAGTGTGAGTTGGTGGGTGGGTATGTGGTGAATGAGTGAGTGGGTGGCTGATATGAGTGAATGAGTGAGTGGTAGGGTGTGTGAGTGAGTGGGTGGTAGGGTGAGTTTGTGGGTGGGTATGTGGTGAGTGAGTGAGTGAGTAGGTGGTAGTGTGAGTTGGTGGGTGGGTATGTGGTGAATGAGTGAGTGGGTGGCTGATATGAGTGAATGAGTGAGTGGTAGGGTGTGTGAGTGAGTTGGTGATAGGGTGAGTTTGTGGGTGGGTATGTGGTGAGTGAGTGAGTGAGTAGGTGGTAGTGTGAGTTGGTGGGTGGGTATGTGGTGAATGAGTGAGTGGATGGCTGATATGAGTGAATGAGTGAGTGGTAGGGTGTGTGAGTGAGTGGGTGGTAGGGTGAGTTGGTTGGTGGGTATGTGGTGAGTGAGTGGGTGAGTACGTGGTAGGGTGAGTTGGTGGGTGGGTATGTGGTTAGTGAGTGGGTGAGTAGGTGGTAGGGTGAGTTGGTGGGTGGGTATGTGGTGAGTGAGTGGGTGAGTACGTGGTAGGGTGAGTTGGTGGGTGGGTGGGAGAGAAGTCCAGGGGTACACTGGTCGGGGACGTATATTCACGTGAACCATTATAACCTCTACAGATCAAAGATGCCACAAGGGTTGAATCCACGCACACTGCATCTTGGCAGCTATGAGAAGCAACTAGCATCAGTAAGATACATGGTTACAAATAAATCTTCAATGATTAATACTGATTATTGTTCCATGTAGAGGTCGCAAATTTCAATTTGATACCTCTATCTTTGCCCTCGTTGTGCTGTGTCTCAGGTCGCCCTCGAGGCCGGCGGAGACGTCGACGATGTAGCAAGCAGTAGCGTTCCTGACAACGATGATGTTCTAAAATAAATAGTCTTTATTATCTTACATGAATCAGTCGGTTGCCTGTCGTGCTTTCATTTATGAATACAAAAAAATGTAATGTCTGATATATTTATGTTTTTACGAACGTTTGCCATAATAATCTTCTTCAATCCAATACTGGTGACGATTAAAGAATTATTTTAGCTTCAAGTGATATTTAGAAACTCCTAAAGTGTCTTCTGAGAGCAAATCTGAGTCTTGTCGAGGAATTTGAAACATTTATTGACGAGTGTTGAAAAAATTGGAATCAAAAGACACAAGTTTGAGGTTCTTTTTTATCTAACATCATTCAGTGCAGACAGATTAGTGATGTTATATAATTCCGACGTCATGGTAAAGATGACGTCACAATGGCGCAATGGCATTGGGGTGTTATCTTTAGGGAGATATGTCACCCAACGATATCACGTGGAACAAGTTTTGGATGATAATTCAACATAGCAAAGCCTGACGGTACAATTCCGAGTAGAATATTCCGGTCCAAATTTAGGATTAACGAATCATGGGTATTTTGTGTATATATAAAGACGTTCCCAGTGTCCGGAGTATGGGGTGTCCGGATTATCCGGTCAACGTAATTGAGTTTCAGCGTACCGTCCTCCCTCGATATAATGCCATCATTAGTCCTGCAGGAAATGTACCAGCGAGATGAAAACAGTACCTTACTGATACTGTACATACATATATACATTACATGTCAAATGACATTTTATTTATGCTTATAGAAGAGGATATAATTTTTAACATCAAACTATTTTTTTGTCATTTAAATAAGGTGAATGAGTCTCTGTGTGGGGATTAGCTGTGAAACAAACTGAGATCAATGCAGTGAGTTTGCTGATTAAAAAGAGCGAATTATCTCCATTGCCAATTTGTTATCAAAATGAAACCAAAAATGGCATTATAATCAGGGATTTTTGGAACGTTTGTTCTGAAAAAACCCCATTGGCATTGGGATTATATCCAGGGTGGCATTATATTCAGGGTTAAACTACGACCAGGGTGGCATTATATTCAGGGTTAAACTATAACCAGGGTGGCATTATATCCAGGGTTAAACTACAACCAGGGTGGCATTATATTCAGGGTTAAACTATAACCAGGGTGGCATTATATCCAGGGTGGGGTTATAACAAGGGTGGGATTATAACCAGGGTGGCATTATATCCAGGGTTAAACTATAACCAGGGTGGCATTATATTCACGGTTAAACTACAACCAGGGTGGGATTATATCCAGGGTGGGGTTATAACAAGGGTGGGATTATATCCAGGGTGGGGTTATAACAACGGTGGGGTTATAACAAGGGTGGGATTATATCCAGGGTGGCATTATATCCAGGGTTAAACTACAACCAGGGTGGGATTATATCCAGGTCGGGGTTATAACCAGGGTTAAACTACAACCAGGGTGGGATTATATCCAGGGTGGGGTTATAACAAGGGTGGGATTATATCCAGGGTGGCATTATATCCAGGGTTAAACTACAACCAGGGTGGGATTATATCCAGGGTTAAACTACAACCAGGGTGGGATTATATCCAGGGTGGGGTTATAACAAGGGTGGGGTTATAACAAGGGTTTGGATTATATCCAGGGTGGCATTATATCCAGGGTTAAACTACAACCAGGGTGGGATTATATCGAGGTCGGGGTTATAACCAGGGTTAAACTATAACCAGGATGTGATTATATCCAGGTCGGGGTTATAACCAGGGTTAAACTATAACCAGGATGTGATTATATCCAGGGTGGGGTTATAACCAAGGTGAAACTATATCCAGGGTGGGGTTATATCCATGATGGGACTATATCCAGGGTGGGTTGATAACCAGGGTGGCATAATAATCTGGGTCTCATTATATCCAGGCTGGCATTATAACCAGGGTGGGATTATATCCAGGGTGGGGTTATAACCAAGGTGAAACTATATCCAGGGTGGGGTTATATCCATGATGGGACTATATCCAGGGTGGCAAAATAACCTGGTAGGCTTTATATCCATGTGGCATTATAACCAGGAATGCACTGCGGAAACCCGTTCTGATTACAACTTGGCTTTATAACGAGGGATATTATAACGAGGGAGGACTGAACATTAATATGAACCACAAATGATTTTTTCCTGATGAGAAATATGATAAAGCACATACAGCGTAGCTGTGATACTCCATCGAGTAGCCATGGACGAGTTCTGGATGGTAGTACACAATCTGCGCCTGAAATATGATATTATTATTAATATATAATGAGACAAGCCTTCGTCAAACACGGGATATCTAATGCAAAGAAGCGGTACGTTTAGACGACATCTTGCATTCCCGATCAATTTTCTGTCGACTGACACAAACTTGACGCATTCGTGGTCAGATCTAACCTGATACTTCTGTATTATGTTCCCTGAAATCAAAGATTCTTTCTCTAAATTCAATAAATTCATAGTTCTGAAACAAGAACTATGCGTACCATGTGTGTTAGTGAGTGAGTGAGTTGGGTTTAACGCCGCTTTTAACATTATTCCAGTTATATGACGGCGTGTCAGCTTAATGCGAGAGGAAAGCCCGAAGTGATGCAGGTCTCAGACGTTTATCACTTCGCTTAAACCCACCATGTATATTAGTATATATGTATGTATATTCTCCTAACAATTAAGGGACCTAACTCATTCCCTGAATATAAATAGTTCCTTATTATGCATAATCACTTCTTTGTTTCTTGGTAAATGCCGCACTCAGCATTATTCCTGCTACATGACGGCATGTCTGTGAATTATCGAATATGGAACAGACAATCCAATGATTTACAGCATGAACAGCTATCTACGCAAATTGGTTACGATGACATGCATCAATCAAGTCAGCGAGTCTGACCACCCGATCCCGTTGGTCGAATCTTATGACAAGCATGGGTTGCTGAAGGCCAATTCTAACCCGGATCTTCGTGGGTCCCCTAATACAATTACCGCGGGAGAGTTTCCAGGCTACCGAGGATTGCTGAAGGCAAATGTAATTGATGCATCAGCCGTCCGACATGCCAGCTGCTCAGCCACGTGTGTGCTGGGGCATGGATGGCCCACTCGCCCAAGGCGCCGCAATTCGCTCTGCAGAGTTGCGTCCCTTGGCACGCCAGAAACCTATGATAGTGGCTTCGAATCCCTGTTCGCCCCGATTGTGTTTTTAGGTTTGTCAACACCATACCCGTGCTCGTGGGTTTGACCAAAGAGGTAAACGTCTGAGACCTGCATCACTTCGGACTTTCCTGCCACTTTAAACTGACACGCCGTGATATAACTGGAATACTGTTCACAGCAGCGTTAAACCCAACTCACTAGCTGTGAGCCTGTGACGTCACTGCATGTTACAGAGACAATACGGTTGCTGTTGTTGTTGTAGTTGTTGTTGTAGTAGGCAATGTTCCCTTGTTTGACACCTGGTGTTTGAAATGGGTGGCGTGTCTTGTCGTGCTTAGAGCACTCATCAACGACAGTAACCACACCCGGTGTTTGAAATGGGTGGCGTGTCTTGTCCTGCTTAGAGCACTCATCAACGACAGTAATGACACCTGATGTTTGAAATGGGTGCGTGTCTCGTACTGCTAAGAGACTCCCGGATCGCCCCGATTATATTTCTTGGTTGATATAGAATGGCAGATCATACTTAAGTTTTTGCTACCATGTTTATGTAATAACTGACATTCTATATATTTACATTCAGGAGGGTCACCATGGCTAATTACATACCTGGCGAATCTGACGTCCTTGCGCTCGGTGCCACACACACGGTGAGTTATGTCTTATATTTCATTCTGTATATTCATGTTATGCACACCATTGTGTGCTATGGTTAAATGTAATCATTATCAATTTTATATAAACTGTATGTCAGAAAACATTAGGACAAATCTTGTCTATGGTGGCACGGGTGACCCAGTCGTTTAAGACGCCGCAATTCGCTGTGCAGTTTTGTGTCCCTTGAACACGTCAGAAACCTATGATAGTGGGTTCGAATCCCAATTATGTTTCTAGATTTGTCAGCACCATACCCGTGGGTTTCACTAAAGTGGTAAAGGTCTAAGGCCTGCATCACTTCGGGCTTTCCTCCGACATCAAGCTGACACGCCGTGATACAACTAGAATACTGTTAAAAGCGGCGTTAAACCAAACTCACCCACTCACCCTACGTTTATACAAATGTCGAATAAAACTTGTACCTTGAGAGAAACTCAATGATTTAACGTTTTGGTAACATTCTCCTGAAACGAAATATAGGATAGACAGAGATGAACAGAATGAATCAGACTTTCGGTCTTCTTGTCATCTGTGAGATGAGTGAGTGAGTGAGTTTGGTTTTACGCCGCTTTTAGCAATATTCAAGTAATATCACGGCGGGGGACACCAGAAATGGGCTTCACACATTGTACCCTGTAGGGATTCGAACCCGGGTCTTCTGTGTGACGAGCGAACGCTTTAACCACTAGGCTACCCGACCGCCCCTGTTTGTTGTTTAAAGCCGCACTCAGAGATAGAGAGTGTTGAAAAAATTGGAATCAAAAGACATAAGTATGAGGTTCTTATTTATCATCTAACATCATTCAGTGCAAACAGATTAGTGACGTTATATAATTCTGACGTCATGGTAAAGATGACATCACAATGGCACAATGGCACAATGGCATTGGGGTGTTATCTTTAGGGAGATATGTCACCAAACATATGTGAGATGAAGTACACCTGGTCTACCACGTGGTGTATTGGTGTGATTGGTACCTATGCAGTCATGATACATAATTCGTATTAATGCCATTGTTTGTCAACTTACCAGCACAACTCCCAAGGCTGTGAACACGAGAAGAGCCTTCATGCTGGTCCGCGAGTCTCTGAGTGAGATTAGGCGATAGGGTTACTGCGTGTTGAGGAGTGCTAGGAATTCCCTATCAGTAATTGTTAACGGTGCTTTTTCCCGGGGCGATTAAAATGAAGTGAGCAAATTCAAATTTCATTTCTTCACATTCTTTCAAAATGGAATTCGGTTACTTTTTCTCAAAGACCGGGAACGTGGTCTAGTGGTTGAGCTTCCGCCTGGAGAGCTGAAGGTTCGGGGTTCGATCCCCGGCCGCATCATACCAAAAGACGTTAAAAGATGGTACTTGTTGTTACCTGTCTGGCGCTCGGCATTAAGGGTTAAAGCAAGAATTGGTCGGCTCGGAGTCAGTATACTGTGTCTGAGTGGGGTATTCATGTTAAACTGCGGCATGGTATCTCAGTGGGCTAGCACGATTTATAGGCACCAGTCCGGTCTAGTACAAGCAGCCACAAACACACACACACTAACACTAACACTAACACACACACACACTAACACACGCACACACGTGCATGCACGTCGCTATATAAGTGCAACAATCTTGGACGCGACGTTAAACCCAATTTCACCTCACATCACCTCAAAAATAAAATTAACATTGGATTGATAACATTTCTTGGGAATTAAACATATTTGTGACGTTACTCTATTGTTTTAACGAACCATTGTTTTTCTCGAATGGACAGTTGGTTGTGAAAGTAACAGTTTCTATCAAAACAATTATGTTGTGTAAAGTTATTCTACTTATTTCGATGTTCTTGATATAGATGGGGCGGTGTGGTAGCCTAGTGGTTAAGGGTTCGCTTGTCACGCCGAAGGCCCGGGTTCGATTCCCGACATGGGTACAATGTGTGGAGCCCATTTCTGGTGTTCCCCGCCGTAATATTGCTGAAATGTTGCAAAAGCGGCGTAAAACCATACTCACTCACTCATGATATAGATATTATTGAATTGTTATTATTACAAGATCACACCAAAGATCTGAGGACATCACATTGCATGTCATGGCAGACAGACCTTTCGCGAACTTTGACTGACAATGAAATGACAGGAAGTCGACATTAGCCAATAAGTAAGCGGCTTTATCGACCTTAATGGCACTAGTTTTGAAATGACGACTTCTTTTCCTGACGACGCTTTAATAACTATTTTCACAAGGTTCTCGAGTCACAATTTGAAAACTGGACAAAAGAAAGTTCCGGAATGTCTAATTGATGGTCGAGTTGTGTGGCAGTACATCCCGCGGGCTATGAAACGTTCTCTTACATTTCAAATGCTGCCCTTATATCGGGGGCTAGACGATGTCTAGCATCTGGAATCTCTCGAACAGTCCGTAACTGCTGTTCAGAATAGTCAGTGTTAAGTCTCAGGTTGAAGAAAGCACATACCGACGGTGACTTTTCAGATCTGGTAAGTGGCGCTCTGATTGGCCGGGTGAAAGGTTTGAGACCTCACATAATTGTAAAGATCAACAAGCGACGGCCCACCTTCATCAACAGCAGAAAAAATCTCTTTAACTTTGAGTCAGTTGGGATGTGAACAACTGTCTGCTCCTAACTAATTCTTATTCACGAACCGACAGTTACTCTTATGAAAGGCATTTAGAAATGATACACATAAAGAGGAGAATATACGGATGTCAACTTCTTTTAGAGGAACAAGTCGTTTCGGAGTATAATTATGCTTACTCCTTCATCATGTGAACGTTATTATCTTAACATAACCGTATTTCCTCCATTAAACGCCGGATAAAGTCTTGACCGAATTAATAGACGCCCTCCAGTCTAATAAGGGAAATACGGTAATTCAGGAATCAGGTTTCATTGAGCTACATTTTAAATATTTCTGTGAAAAGTTACAAGTAATCTTTGAAATTCGAATATGATCAAATATATCATCGGGGTTTCCTCCGTGAATAGCTTGCCTGTGTAAATAAATATGATTGTCACTTAAGAAACCGAAGGAAACGCCAGCAGGGACGATTACTGCTCTGGTGGCAACAATGAGGCTGACAAACAAATGCTCAGAATCTGAGCGTAGCTCGGACTCGAACCCACCTATAATCAGCAGATCCTTGAACAGGTGAGAACAGCATCTTACTTGAGGTAGTGTCATCAATTATACTTGTATCACCCATGCGCTGAAACAAGGACTGGTCGACTCGGAAGATACTGTGTCTGAGTTGATCCATGAGTATTCATGTTAAACTGCTGTATGGTATGTACATGTTTAAAAAAAAAAAGAAACGTACAGGTAGATTTTTAGTAAATTTATTGTACCTCATAAAATCGCTTTATTTAATTTAATATCATAGATACAAATATGACATTTTGGAGCTCGATAGTCACATGTTGTCTTTGTACAAAGGCATTGAAAATTGTTCATTGTCATGTCAAATAAGGTCACACGGTTGCGCTGAACTCTTGTTGACCACCCCGGGCAGCAATCTCGGTTCTGCATCTTCTTGGCACTGACTGGATAAGTGTACGAATTCTGTCCTGCGGAATTCTGCACCATTCTGCTTGTAACGCGTTGGCCAGTTGTGGGAGTGACTGCAGCGTGTTCTGACGTTGACGTTGACGTCGATCGAGGTCATCCCAAAGGTGTTCGATTGGGTTGAGATCTGGAGATCACAACGTCCAGGGCAAGATGTTTATGTTGGCATTATGGAGGCAGTCTACCGTGACACGAGCTGTGTGCGGTGTAGCTTTGTCCTGTTGAAACAGCTCCCTCTGGCGGTCAATGATTGGAAGAAGGTGAGGTTAAAGAATTTGATTCATGTAGCGATTTGCTGTCAAATTTCCCTCAATCACAACTGATGTAGGATATGTCCCCACACCATGACACTACCACCACCGAATTTGTTGAATTCACGTAGTACACACAATGTGGGCAAAACGCTCATTTCGACGACGATAAACACGTTGTCTTCCATCTCGTCGGTGAAGAAGAAATCGTGATTAATCGCTGCACCACACCCGTCTCCAGTTTCCCAACTTCCACGGCTGTAATGTATGGCACCAACGCAAGCGTCTCTGTCGATGAATCTGTTGCAAAACAGGGATGATACCTGGTCTTCTGGGTCGGATTCCAGCCACACGAAGATGGTTCCTGACAGGCTGGTCCGATATCCTCTTCAAACCAGGGATGCGTCCAGCAGTCTCCAAAGCTGTCATTGCAATGGCGTAGGTGGAAGACGAATGTAGCGTTCCTGTGCATGGGTGGTAACACTTGGTCGGCCGGTTCTAGGACGGCCTGCAGTGGAATTGAACTGTGTGTATCGGTCACAAAGGCGGCAAATGGTGCTGTGGTGGACGTTGAAGTGGCGTGCCACAGAAGAATGCGATTCCCCTCGTTGGATACGTCCAATGGTGCTGAGTCTCGGCATTTTCAAACTTGAAAAATGTTGACAATTGAATGACAAATTATTGGTTTATGCTTGCATTTTTATAGCCAATACAACGAGTTACGAATGCCATAACTTGCACGTGCATTTTGCTTTACTGTTTTCCTCCATGCCATTTTTGAACAAGTGTGAAAACAATGCCGTTTAAGACATTGCGAATCGACAATGGCTGCGTTTTGACGCACCGTTTGTCGAATATCAGGACACCAACATTTTCCAGTATCCAATTTATATCCAGGATTTTTTGTGTAGTCAGGTGCAATGAACTGCATACTACCTGTGCGTTTCTTTTTTTGAAGAGTGTAAGTGGGCGAGCATTTTAAAATCGGCATAGACGAGTACAAGCAGCAATATAAGTGCAATAATCTTGGACGCGACGTTAAACCCCATTTCGGGGCGGTCGGGTAGCCTGGTGGTTAAAGCGTTCGCTCGTCACGCCGAAGACCCGGGTTCGATTCCCGACATGGGTACAATGTGTGAAGCCCATTTCTGGTGTCCCCCGCCGTGATATTGCTGGAATATTGCTAAAAGCGGCGTAAAACCACACTCACTCACTCACTCACTCACTTAAACCCCATTTCACATCACCACCTACAAACTATACATTTACTATATTATGTAACTTAGCTGGATCTGGTGTTCTACCATGCACACAATCTTATCATCCCAAACTGGCTTCTATAGAAAATATTGCTCAGTGTGGTCAAGCGATATCTACAAGGAGACTATGTGTCTGCCGCTGAAGCTGGATAGCAGTACCTATTGGAAGCATGGCATTGGACATTACTGTTTACAGACTGGAGTGAGTGAGTGAGTGAGTGAGTGAGTATGGTTTTACGCCGCTTTTAGCGATATTCCAGCAATATCACGGCGGGGGATACCAGAAATGGGCTTCACACATTGTACCCATGTCGGGAATCGAACCCGGGTCTTCGGCGTGACGAGCGAACGCTTTAACCACTAGGCTACCCGACCGCCCCATTTACAGACTGTAACATCTGTCTGCACTGAAGCTGGCTGGCTGTACTTTACACTGAAAACACTGGTTATGTTGGCGATAAAACACGACTCCGAGTCGCGGTATAAAAGGAATCCGATCAAAGAGTTCGAGAGAAAAAACACGTGCAGCATGGACCAACTGGAGTCATGACATGTAAAATTGAACAACTTTGTCAAATTGAAAATCAACCTGCCCCGGTGACTGCGTGGGAAAACAATAGGTTATAAGACCTAACACGATATAAAACCTAACCCTGAGGCTGCACGTTCGATTCTCGTCATGGAATTTTCATGTATAAAATATGACTTTTAACCAATCAAAAATCAACATTATATTCATATTAAAATTAAAACCTCAAAACAGGTTTAGAAGTCACCCAGGTCAAAACCTTGATTTGGAACATGAGCTGGTTACTGATTTACTTCCCATCTGGGTTTAATCGAGGCTGTCAGGAACCTAATGCAATATAGGGTATTGTGATGATAGGTTTATAATTCTGTTAACACACTGAAACAGTTTGAAGAATGATTTGGGATGATGAATAGAATCTTACCATTGCGAGTTTTAAACTTGTATCGAGTCATGTTGATGGGGTTTTTTTCAAAGAGATTCTGTGTGTGCACCGGGTATGTTCCATAAGCCACGCCCCCGTGAACATCCGCGTTAGAATTGGTCTTCTTCAACCCATGCGTGTCATAAGAGGTGACTATGCTTGCCATCAGAGGCGACTAACGGGATCGGGTGGTCAGGCTCGCTGACTTGGTTGATGCATGTCATCTTATCCCAATTGCGTTGATCGTTAACCATGATGCCAGTCTCGAATATTTACAGACCGCCGTCATATAGCTTGAATATTGCTGAGAGCGGCGTTAAACAACAAACAATCCATAAGTCATGACTCACAGATAATGGATCAGGGTCACGCAGCAGAATAACAAGGGAGTGTTCAAGTGTTGAAAACGCCAAGGCATACAGCGTTTCTACTGCCCTACATCCCTACATCCCAAATACATCCTCACCATTCATCCTTCAATGTTACATGCACATAGCGAAGGATGCAGATATATATATATATACAGCTGAGTAATTTTGATAAAGGATGTCCCTGTTGTTAAAATTGGTCCCTAGGAACATATGCTGGCTCTAGGAGGCTCCCCTATGGATTGGGTGGTCAGGTTCGGTGACTTGGATGGCATCGTAACCCGACGGTATGGATCGTTATTCATAATATCAATCACAGATTCGGCGCACACAAACAAACAAATAAAAAAAAGGTAACTTGCACAGCTCACACGTTGTGCAAGGCCGTTTTAATGGATTCTTGAATGGGTTCTTCCACCAACAACACTTTCATGGCAAACATACATCGTCACCTTGTTGACAATACGAGGGCTGGTCAAAAAGTTCTAAGCCTGACTAACTTGTATTTGGTCTGTTGAGGTCGTTTATATATTAGTGACAGCCAGTTGAACGTGATAGGGGTCCAAATGGTCACAGAAATGGAACAGAGCGAGCACCGAGCAGTCATCAAGTTTTTAACTTTTGAGAAACGTACTCCCAAAGAAATGAATGGGGATAAGTGCCCTAGCTATTCCACTGTTAAACTGTTTAAGCCTGTTTAAGGAGAACAAGGCTTGATGATGACCCTAGGTCTGGACGTCCCCCATCCATGAAGATTCATATCAAGGAGATAGAAAAACTTATACTGTCAATTAGCCAGACGTATTGCCATTGCTGTACTTGAGGAAGACACAGGTCTAGCCTGGATACATTGAAACTATTATTCATGAACATTTACAGATGAATAAGATATCTGCTCGTTGAGATTTAGAGCTAACTGAGGAGGATTTCGTCAAATTCAAAAAGAGATTAGTGACGGTTGATGAAACATAGGTCTACCACTATCATCCCGAGTCAAAACGCCAATCCATGGAATGGCACCATACCACTTCTCCGGCACACATGTAATTCAAGTCTTCAAGATCAGTGAAGAAAGTTATGACCGCTGTGTTCGGGGATGCAAAAGGTGTGATCCTTGTTGATTACTTAGAAAGTCAAGAGACAATCACCGGTGCCTACTATGCTGATTTGCTTCATCGCCTGAGAGAAGCTATCAAAGAATAGCGGCGAGGAATGCTGACTGCTGGAGTTCTACCTCTTCTGACAATGCCTCTTCTCATACCTCTCGACCTGCAAAGGCTGCTGTGCGACAATGTGGATTCGAAGAGCTCCATCACCCTCTTACTCGACAGTCCTGGCACCAAGTGGTTTCCACCTGTTTCCTAAACTGAAAGAATACTTTCGTGGAAAGCGCTGTGACGACAACGATTACCCCAAAGCTGCCGTGAATGGGGTTTTTTAGGGTGGTTTCAGAAAACTTCTTCCTGACTGTAATTGAAAAGCTTCACTATCGATATGATAACCGTATTGAAAAGCAGGGAGATTATGTGAAAAATAAAATTAGAAATGCTTTCACAATTGTTGATTTTATTTGTTAGGGTAAGAACTTTTTGACCAGCCCTTGTAGAAAATGGTTGTGAGTGAGTAAGTAAATTTGTTAATACGTCGCTTTGAACAGTATTCCATTAATGTCACGGCCTGTCAGCTTATTGTGGGAAGAATATCCGAAGTAATGCAGGTCTTAGACGTTTAGCACTTTGGTGAAACCTAAGAGCACGGTTATGGTGCTGACAAACCTTGAAACATACGGGATACGTGGACATGCATCCGCCAAGTCAGCGAGTGAGTGAGTTGGGTTTAACGCCGCTTTTAACAGTATTCCAGTTATATCGCGTCGTGTCAGCTAATGTGGGAGGAAAGCCCGAAGTGATGCAGGCCTCAGACGTTAACCACTTCGGTGAAACCCACGAGCACGGTTATGGTGCTGACAAACCTAGAAACATAATCGGGGCGAACCGGGACTCGAACCCACAATCATAGGTTTCTGACGTGCCACCTGAACGGATATAAAGTACTAACAATAAGAGTAATGTCCCAATTGATTTACAACATCATATCACGCCAGTAATGAATTGTGTATATAGAATTTACAGCTATAGCGAACGAATTTTCCACATAAAGGAGGCATAAAACTCATTATTTTCATACAATAGTAACAAGACGATGGGGTAGCCTAGTGGTTAAAGCGTTCGCTCGTCACGCCGAAGACCCGGGTTCGATTCCCAACATGGGTACAATGTGCGAAGCCCATTGCTGGTGTTCCCCGCCGTGATATTGTTGGAATATTGCTAAAAGCGGCGTAAAATCATACTCACTCACCACATCAGAAACAAACTGGTCAAATTCAGTCGGTGGCTGTTACTTTCAGCTATAACTAAGACGTAGCCCTTCTGAGAAATGCAAGTCATTTTGATAAGATCCAGTTCGTGACTTTGATAAAAGGGCGCTCCTTTCGTTCTTCAGAGAAATACGTTATCTTATCTGCTCAAAAGATATCTAAAAAGGTCTATCCTCTGCTAAAAAAAAGTGTATTTAAAGACGCATCAGGTGTTCAATCGTCCTTGTCATCACAAAAAGAACTACTGAAACATGAAGGTCTTCATCGTTCTGGGGCTCTGCGCTCTTGCTGCTGTGAGTGTGTCGTCTTTGTCGAGGGAATGGGATGTGTTCATTCGTAAATTGATTCACAGAAATTTTTTTTAAAATCAATCAGTTTTTTCGGCAGTTGACAAGAAATAGTACTCGTTCTCTGTCGCTTTGAAAGAAACGCTATTCAAAGAAGGCAAACGACAACAGCAGAACCCATAAGAGATCGAAAATTTGATATTCGGGCGAGGTGGGGTTGAACACATAAATTGTCAATATTGTTGAAAGATGTGTTTTTTAAATATGTTTACTTCACCTGTTCCTATTTTGCGATGATACACAGCATTCGTTCACAGCGGGTTAACACTCACTCACTCACTCACTCACTCACTCACTCACTCACTCACTCACTCTTCCAGGCTCAATTTAAACCTATCGACATCATCAACAACATCCTTGGCTGGAACAGCGACAGGATCCACGGCTGGAGCTTTGAGTACCACAGAACCCATGTAAGTACGATACAGAACCTCAGCATCTTTGGTTCAAAGCGGCTTTAAACCCAACTCACTCACTCACTCACTCATCATCTTGAGTATCTTGAGTATCGGGTGGTGAGAAGTTTAAGCGTCACAATTTACTGAGGAGTTTAAGCGTCCCAATTTAGTGAGAAGTTTAAGCGTCCAAATTTTCTGAGGAGATTAAGCGTCACAATTTACTGTGGAGTTTAAGCGTCACAATTTGCTGAGAAGTGTAAGCGTCAAAATTTACTGAGGCGTTTAAGCGTGACAATTTGCTGAGAAGTGTAAGCGTCACAATTCACTGAGGCGTTTAAGTGTCACAATTTACTGAGGTGTTTAAGCGTTAAATTTTACTGAGGAATTTAAGCGTCACAAATTACTGAGGCGTTTAAGCGTCACAATTTACTGAGGATGTTAAGCGTCACAATTTACTGAGGAGTTTAAGCGTCAAAATTTACGTACTGAGGAGTTTAAGCGTCAAAATATACTGAGGAGTTTTAGCGTCATAATAAACTGAGGAGTTAAAGAGTTGCGTTCTTTAGGCATCCGAGAATGATCAATTTCATATCGACCAATGAAATCACTAACTGTAAGTCGACATTAGCCAATTAGAAAACACTAGTTTGCGGCACTAGTTTCAAACTGGCGACTTCTATTCCAGACTTTGTTTTGAAAAATATTTTGACAAATTTCTCGATTCAAAATTTGAAAGGCGAACCAAAAGAAATTATGGAATTTTCTAACAGATGACCGAATTGTATGGCAGTACTTCTCTCCCGTCTCAAATGTTAATATTAATATTATTGGGTAGAAGAATTGTGTTGTAGGGCTTGATGTTTTGCAAAGATAATCAATTCATTGTAATTCTGCTGTGTTATCTGTGCCCTTGATCCATAAAGCGAGGTGCGGTGGGGTAGCCTAGTGGTTAAAGCGTTCGCCCGTCAGGCCAAAGACCCGAGTTCTATTCCCGACATGGGTACAATGTTGAGCCCATTTCTGGTGTCCCCCGCCGTGATATTGCTGGAATATTGCTAAAAGCGACGTAAACCACTCACCCATAAAGCGAACGCTCTGTGGGTCGTGGCTGTAGAGGATACTTGCAGAGAATCCTGCTCGAGTGTTTTGGTGTTTTATTTATATCAAGTCAGTGTTATGAGGATATCAAGTAAATATTGGGAAGACATCAAGTCAACATTATGAAGATATCCTGCAATTGTAACAATTGATTTGATTGGTCAGGATCTGATGCTGGTCAGGAACGCCGACACCTGCTACCTGGTGTCAGTGAACAGTGACACCGAGAAGCTGCTCCAGCACAAGGACTCCAGGGAGAAGCTTGAGGTACGTGTACACCCCACACGTAATTCAAAATTAATAGACCGCCTCCGTGGTCTAGTGGTAGAGCGTCCGCCCGGAGAGCGGAAGGTCCGGGGTTCGCGTCATACCAAAAGACGTTAGAAGATGGTACTTGTTGTGACCCTGCCTGGCGCTCGGCATGAAGGGGCTAAAACAAGGACTGGTCGGCTCGGAGTCAGTATACTGTGTCTGAGTGGGGTATTCATGTTTAACTGCGGCATGGTATCTCAGTGGGCTAGCACTATAAATCGGCATCAGTCCGGATTAGTACAAGCAGCCACACAAAGACACACACGTACATGCACGTCGCTTTATAAGTGCAATAATCTTGGACGCGACGTTAAACCCCATTTCACCACCTCAAAATTAATATACCGTTTTTTTATTCGCTTCAACAAAATCAGTTATGATACTCTCGTGTCTGGTTCATCGATCACTTGATTGTCTGGTTTGTTAACAGGCTGGCGTCGCATGGCAGGAGTACCGCTGTGCTGGGTCAGGCAATAAATACTTACTTTTTTATACAAATTGTATGAATGGCGGGTGGTACCGGTAGGGCAGGACATTCTTTCCATTTTCGCGACGCCTGGTGTCATCACGGGTTGGCAGTGGTCCATTTGTAGCGGCCATAAAATTTCTGAGTCCCGTGTTTGGATTCGAACCTCGGACCTTCTGATCCGAGGTCGGACGCCTTGTCCACATGACAAAAGAGTAATCCCGTCAGCAAGCTGACAAGGTAAGGATGTCATCTGTGGGATGGCTCCACGCCCTGCTTCACATTCATATAATTTCCATAGCTATTTGCCCTTTACGCCAAGCGGAATCTGTTTCGGCAGAAAATCTAGTATGGTTATTCTCTTGCAATGACAGTTTATATGTACAGGGATAATTAGTCTCGATTAACTGCCGGAGTAGATTCAGTTGGGCGTAAAAGGCAAGGGGTAAAACTGATACGAATGGATCGGTGATGACATCAGGTGTTCGCGAAAAGGGTAAGAATATCCTTCACCTCATCTTCTTAAAGTTGCTAGACTCCAGGGGGTAGCCTGCGGTTTGGTTTAAACCCTACCGTTTCAAGGCTGCCAGATGCCCGCTACTTCATAGGCCTTCATAGGGCTTCATTGGCCTTCATTTGCCTCCACAGGACTTCATGGGCCTTCACAGGCCTTCATTGGCCTTCATAGGACTTCATTGGGCTTCATGGGCCTTCATGGGCCTTCACAGGCCTTCATAGAACTTCATAAGAATTCGTAGTACCTCATAAACTTCATAGAACTTCATGGGACTTCATTGGCCTTCATAGGACTTCAAAGGACTTCACAGGAGAAAACTCGAGAGATGTTAGTGTATGACATTTCAGCATGCTATAGTTACCGGTTTTCCAACATTCCATGAATGACTTCCGATTGTGTCAGCGTGAAAACTCTAGCTCTCTGATCTGATCAATAAGACGATCGTAAGTCAACACATCTTCCCGAGACAAGAGAGTCAACTGACTATTAAAGTCAAGTTTCCACCCTTGCCGACTTCGGCTGGTTTTAAGGAGTTACATTTTGGCTGGACTAACGAGTCTATGCATAGTCCAATCAAAATCGCGCAACGGAATCGTAATCCGGTTCGTAAAAAACTGTTGTGCAGATTTCGGTCGATTACAGGATTTGCAAAGCATGTGTACCGCCAACTCGGCGTCAACAGATATTTTCCAAATCTTGTCCTGTTTTTAATCAAGGTGCGCACGTGATTTGATGCATTTCGCGATGTAAGACCTGTTTTATCACAATATAGATCTTGATTATCGATCAGATCGTCCTGACTGGACGCCACTATTTTGTTTGGAGCAAATGCAAGTGATACGAGAGGTAGAATCTGATTAGTCCATAGAAGAGGCTAAGAAGGGACATAACTCGTAATAGCCACTGGTTGCGCTACGATCGAGCCCAGGAATTACAGCCGAGTTCGGCAAGGGCGGAAACTGGACTTTTATAGTCAGTTAACTCCCTTGCCTCGGGAAGATGAAGTCAACAAGGACTGACGACAGTCGGATCACTAAGAGATATTTGTAAAACGGAACCAGGGACTTTGTTATAAACATCGTTGTAAACTCACGAATCAAATTGCGGTAAAACGAAAGCTGTTGTGACGGAATAGATAAATAGGGATTACTTTTGAAGAGAGTGTCTAGTTAAAGCTGATTTTGGTCTAAGGTTTCCCTGTTAGTTATAATGACAGAGGTGATCATAATCATAATCATAATACATGTCACGCTGGTTTCTCCAGGATGAGGTCTACCAGCAGATCAAATCCCACACTGGCGAGAGCAAGGGCAGCCTTAGCGAGATCCGCAGCAAATACCACGACATCCGCGCCGTCGCCGAGTGCTTCAGGCACACCGTCTACGATCTGACCATCACCCCCAGCTCCTAAACGTTGCACAGGGTGTTCTTATTGTACATTTATTTGGCTCATTAAAGCTGATTTATAACGCTCGTTGTTATTTATTGTTTGGTGAACGATTTTCACAATGAATGTTTTCCTTCCATGCATTCTTTGCAAGTAGATGTCGCTATATCTAAAGCGCTGGGCGCCGTTCCTCAAAGCGATCGTAGTGAGAAGACGATCGTAACTCCCATACTTTAACATAGACTCACGACAGCCGTAACGCTACGATCGCCTTGAGGAACGAGGCCCTGTACTGCAAGATGTACAGTGCTGTAACTTTAACGCCGCACTCAGCAATATTCCAGCTCTATGACGGCGGTCTGTAAATAATCGAGTCTGGACCAGACAATCCAGTGATTAATATCATGAGCATCGATCAACGCAACCTGGGTCTTCGCCGTGACGCGCGGACGCTTTAACCACTACCCCACCGCCCAATATATGCAGAAACGTGTGGCAGCTTCATGTATTCAGTGGTTTAAAGACATTTCCCTTGATTTCCTGAGATAATCAAAGTAACTGATTTCTTTAGAGGTGTATGCAGGGGCTGCACAAACCCTTATTTCACCTTTTGTTTATGTGTGTCAATCCAAAGGTGTAAACATATAATGGGATTACACGAAATGTTGCGATATCCGTGGGCCACAGCACGTGACACGACAGACCAATCAGGGCCGAGTATGGTGAACGGGTCGTCCGTGCAGCATGTGCAGATCAGCCTTGTCTTCCGTCCTGTGTGGTCGATCTGAATAAATGTTTAGCGTGGCGGCGGGCAGCCTTCCTTTTCAACACTTACATTCGGTGACAGGTGAAGAATGTTTGAAGATACAACAAATGAAAATCCAACGTGTAAGTGAAAAATGTTTGTATATCTTTTTTATGACAGTTTTTGTTGAGTGTGCCACACGGAGTCATTCCAGCATGCCCGACCCAGAGGGAGAGAATTCGGGTGGCTCTTGGAACCCCAAACAGCTTCCACTGTCGGGGGAGGATTTAATATGCCAGTTAATTAACCCCAAGCAAATAACATTTTCTGCATACATCGAAAACATTTACGAGATTTGTTTTGAGTTTTGACAGAAGTTCATTGACTTGTACGTATTTCACCACCAGGTCACTGTGTTGAGTGCTTTTGGTCTATCTCCGTGAATTAACGTCAGACTTTGAAACTTACAAGGAGTATTTGACAGAAGAAATTGACAGAACAACTGTACGTGAACAAAACGCAGCTGACCCGTGAAGATTCCGGGGTAGAATAGGTCTTCAGCAACCCATGCTTGCCGTAAAAGGTGACTATGCTTGTCGTAAAGGGCGACTAACGGGATCGGGTGGTCAGGCTCGCTGACTTGGTTGATGCATGTCATCGATCCCAATTGCGTGGATCGATGCTCATGATATCAAGCACTTGATTGTCTGGTCCAGACTCGATTATTTACCGACCGCCGTCATATAGCTGGAATATTGCTGGGTGCGGCGTTAAACAACCAACCAACCAACCATCCGATAACACCTTTCCCACAGCTGTCGATGTCCACGTTATATTGAATCCGGTGTCTACACCAGTGACGATTTGCGATTAATTGCTGTCGCACTTGGTAACACTCAACAGCAACAATTGTACCATATTGCGTCATCCCAGTACAGGGAACCAGATAACCTCAGCAAGTATGATGCCAAGGAATGGTTGACACATCAGAACCCTATTGTTGTCGCCCTGTTACAATCACTGACGAATGTTAGTAGTTATAGTTGTGCAACAAAACATGTATATTTGGAACGTGCCTATGAACACTTATATGGTGCAAGGAATAGTAATGTCATTTGCCCGTTATCGTTTGCCATGAACCTGTTACTATATTATGTTACAGGCAGTAAAGTTGCTTGCAATCTGTCGTCCATGACGAGTCCATTTGGCTCTTACCAAAGCATACTCAAGTGCATCAATGAACAACAAGCTGCCATGCCTGAAAAGTGTCCAACAGCAGGAGATATTATAACATGTTTTTACAACATCTACATCTACAATCATTGGCGAGTGAGATACGACGCTAAAGCCATGGTGAGTGTTGTAACGACATTGCTCTACATTTTCCCACCAGATACTACGTTGCAGACAACACCCCATCTCAGTCCATGCAACTGGGGCGGTCGGGTAGCCTAGTGGTTAAAGCGTTCGCTCGTCACGCCGAAGACCCGGGTTCGATTCCCGACATGGGTACAATGTGTGAAGCCCATTTCTGGTGTCCCCTGCCGTAATATTGCTGGAATATTGCTAAAAGCGGCGTAAAACCATACTCACTCACTCACCATGCAACTGGTTGACGTATGACGTCATATATCTGCAGAATACACTACCCTCTTTTATATCTTCATCTATTGATGTCTTTCGTCATCAACGTACAAAAGTGCTAACTGTAATGTTGCAGAACAAGGTACAGATGGCGTGAGTGACACTTTTGATTGTGCTGTGTTGCCTGATCCACCCACAGCTATGGATGACACCCATTACACGGTGAGTCGGGATGACGATACATCAAAGATCAGAATCGTGAGATCAGATAGGACACCATCCATATCTTGTTCATATATGTCAATGGAGGTTGTGCTACGCAGGATTTTGGAAGATGTTGGTGTCTGATTATTTAGATCATGGTGTGTGATTGGATGTGATGGCCTACCATATAACCTTGCTTCGCGTGTGATAGACAATCATTACACATGTTCCATCTGCAATGCCACCGATATTCATGGCGTGCCTAAATAACAGAAGCATCTGGATGATGACCATTACCTACCATGTCACAATCCACAGGAACACCGGACGTTCGGAAACATCTTATTGCTCCCAGGACCCGAACACATGGAAATAACATGGCAAAGACAAGTTTTAAATTATTGTGGGATGTAATCCTTAAAGATCTTGCCATCATGCTGGGTTTCAGGTCAATTCGAGCCCAAGACTCGTGCCGCCATGCCACGGACCATCATAAGGCTTGGCAGATGCTGGAGATGTGTCTGTGGGGGACGGGAGCTGAACTTCTCGTTCCTTTCATCAGAGACTGTAAGCAACATGGCAGGCAGGCAAGTGTGGCTCTTTTATATTCATGGTTATCATGTGCAAAGAACAGGAACTACCTTTTCATGGCCGATGTTACTTTACCTTTATCATGGCACTGTTTCTATTCCGGTGTGGCATGAGAAGAGGAAACGAGAAGTTGATCACGGATGCACAGACATATAACAATGTAATAAAATTCCTATCAAACTGTTCTTATTGTTAACATTATTGTAATACATTTGCATAGCAGTATGGTTTACTCATGAAGGGCTATTATTCAGAAGTGAATACAACTCTTGAAAATCCATTACAATGTGGTCACAAACTGAAAACCGAGGGTCGGGAAATACGGAGGTCATTATTCAATGCCAATTGAACCGCAGTAAGCTCCCCTTACATTGGGAAAGGTGAACCTCACCACAGCAACACTACGCAGCTGTAGAAGTATTGATCCTTAAACACCAGTTATTCCCCCTTACGTTATATCTTAAAGAGGCAGAGCAGTTTTCAGGACAGTATTTACATATTCAGACAAACTTTAAAAACACATATTGCAGTGTGTGTACCAACTTAATGAACACAAATGAAAGGTGTGCGTAGTTTGGCATCATGCATTACCAACGTTTCATTTCATTAATTTTACAGTCAATTGTAAATTGCAATGCTGGCAAATATTTAATATATTAAAACTTTTAGGGTGCGTTTTACCGTTTTGTCAGTATGAATATAGGTTTTTCAAAAGTTGCATATTATCAATTTAGTGTTTAGTTATTACCTGGTCTAAGGTGTCTATGTTGCTGCATATTCTCTGCCAGTGCTGTTCTGAAGGAAGTCCCGGCGGCATCCACATCTGTATCCGTCTGTTTTTGGCCTCTCAAACAATATCTCCCCCTTCACCCCTGAAATCCCCCCCCTGACGCCGACAAAGAAATGTGATTCTATGAAGTCCTTCACCTCTGGTGGACTAGAATTCCGCACATGATGAGTGACCGTGACACTAGCATACCCTGAGTCATCTATCATATATTTTCGTGATATAGTTCATTGTGTCGTGTGTACCAACTGCGTGGATCCTATAAGATTGTGATATGTTCATAAGTTCTAACCGTAATGTTGTATGTTGCATAACGCTGTATCTATTTCCACAGGGCCTTCCGAGCTGACGCCATCTGCTATGATGAAACTATCATCTTAAGAAGTTCAACCTGCGTTTGCGATTCCATTAAACTACTTTTGTTATACTGTACACAGGTTCAGGCAAAAAGCCTGGTCATACATTTAAGGGATCGATGCTCATGATATCAATCACTGGATTGTCTGGTCCAGACTTGATTATTTACCGAACGCCGTTATATAGCTGGAATATTGCTGAATGCGGCATAAAATCACAAACATACATTTAAGGATTGACAGTGCCTCACGTGAGCAAATTCCATGATGCGCGAAGAAGCCTTCTTGGTTTCTCAATCTCAGTTGATGGCCGGGGCGGTGGGGTAGCCTAGTGGTTAAAGCGTTCGGTCGTCACGCCGAAGACCCGGGTTCGATTCCCCACTTGGGTACAATGTGTGAAGCCCATTTCTTGTGTCCCCCGTCGTGATATAGCTGTAATATTGCTAAATGCGGCGTAAAACAATACGTCTTTGGTTTTGCGTCTTCGTCCTACGTATTCTTGCCATGATTTCTATTCTCACCAAGGGCCGAGTGTTAGGCCAATTAAACGGGTTTAGTGAGTATGTTTGCGGAATGATCATCCTGTTTCTGCCTCAACACAATTGAACCAAATTGTTCCACTTTGGCGCTTATCTGGGCAGAACGGAAATTTGTGCTGCGACGTTTAATTATCAAAACAGACCATAGGCAACTGCGCAACATAATATTTAGAGCTTTCATATTATCAGTTTGATGTGGAATCAAGCAACTCGGGAGGAAAAGGCACAGAACTATGGAGAAAGCCGGAACCAGCTATTTGGTGAATTTAAATTTAGCAATATCTTGTGTAGTTGAGCAGAATAAATGTGTGCCAGCCACCAGTCTTCTTTGTTATTCATTACACTACACAAATCGGGGACCCGGGTGAGAAGTGGTCTTCAGCCGCCCATGTTTGTTATTTGAGGTGACTAAAGGGTGTGTCATTGTATCACTGGTGTCATAGCTGAAATATTGCCGAGTCAGACGTGGTAGATGAGAACAGTGAAAAACCGCAAAAGCAATTTCAAGCTAGCAATCATCATTTGACAACCAGTGTCGCTCAAAGACATAGCATCCACATTATGAACTGCAGTAGAGCACTGGTTTGTTCCTGAAGTTGACCACTGGTGATTGCTAGCTTGAAATTGCTTTTGCGGTCTTTCGTCGTCTCTTTCGAACAAGATGTACCACATAATCGGCCGGAAATCAGCAACTCGCAGGCTCGTGTTCCAATTGCGTGGATCCATGCTCATGATGGCAATCACTGGATTGTCTGGTCCAGACCGCCGACAAGACACAAACAACTGAACATAATTGCTTTGTCTTCGATTTATGAACTGATGAAAAGCAGTCCTGGTTACCATGGAAACGCCAACAAATTATTTTGTTCTTTCCGGATGTACGAGGGCAAGCAGGTGTGTTCAATAAATGGGTCATCAAAAGGGTAGTGAATTGCTGTGAAGTCGCAGTTGGTACCAGCTGAAATCGTGTGAAAGAACAGCGCCATTAAATCTGTGTATATACATATAATTTTGGTTTTGTTATGTAACGCCGACTCGGCAATATTCCAGCTATATGACGGCGGTCTGGAGCAGACACTCCAGTGATTGACATCACGAACATCGATCCACGCAATTGGGATACAATGACATGCATCAACGAGCCTGACCACCCGATCCCGTTAGTTGCCTCTTACGAAAGGGCGGGTTGCTGAAGACCTATTCTACCCCGGGTCTAAATGTATATACAGTAATAAAAATCGCAATCGGACATTATTGTTGAAACATGTGTCTGGGTTATACAAACATGCAGTCACTCAGGGTACCGTTGTACAAAGCGATCTTAGCGCTAAGGTGACGGTAACTTCCATACCTTAACAGTCGTAGTGCTGAGGTTGTCTTGGACATTACACATGTTTTTGTTTGTTTAAAGCCGCTCTCAGCAATATTCCAGCTGTATGACGGCGGTCTGTAAAATATTTCTGAGAAATAAACTGAACTGTAAGTAATCGAGTATGGACCAAACAATCCAGTGATTCACATCATGAGCATCGATCCACGTAATTGGGGTACGATGACATGCATCAACCAGGTCAACGAGTCTGAACACCCAATCCCATCAGTCGCCTCTTACGGCCAGCATGGGTTGCTGAAAACCAATTCTACCCCGGATCTTCACGGGTGACACGACATGTTCATCTACATATTTAAGTAAACAAAAACACATTTGAGTAAGGTATGTCATTAAACATCAACTCAAATAATATCTAGTACACATACGTCAGTATATGCACTTGCATACGCACCCGCACCCGCACCCGCACCCGCATACACGACACTGCAGTAGATACTGTTGACTAACCTTGGGTGTATGCAGTAATAGGCGGATCTCCAAAAATCCGATTAAACTGAGTAAAACAACTCCACTTTTTGACTGCTTCGGAGTGACTGAAGTATCTGGTTCACGGCTGAAATACGTAATAATTAAAATATTATAATCATGTAGAGGGGAATGTCCGCAGAGCCATTATTTTTAAGGAATGGGGAGTTCCGAGGATATTTCCCTACTTAAAACTCATCTCTACTTTTTACACGTGACAAAATATTCTGTCGTGGAAAATATTTGAAAAATAAACCAGGACAGTTGTGTGATGGGTCCTAAACTTGTATCGCTTGCACATTGTTAATACATGCTGACATGCACAGCTCCGAACAAGGATTTGTTTTTTCTCGTCAAAGGTTTATCTTATTGCAATAAATATGAGTGAGTGAGTTGGGTTTAACACCGCTTTTAACAGTATTCCAGTTATATCGCGACGTGTCAGCTTAATGTGGGAGGAAAGCCCGAAGTGATGCAGGTCTCAGACGCTTACCACTTCGGTGAAACCCACGAGCACGGGTATGGTGCTGGAAACCTATAAAATTGAACATCGTTGTTTTCATATTATTTTGAGCTTTGAAGCATAATGCAAAATCATGAAAATATTTAATAGTAAAATTTACGCCACACATTTATGTGCCGCCGTAGCCAAGTTTGACAATCACACCTTCTCAAATCAAACGATGCGGGTTCGAACCCCGCTGGCGACACTTGTCAATAAATACTAAAAAATAGTTCCGTCTATTTCAAGTGGAAATTAATTCAAATGTCGGTTCAAGATAATGTATAGTTAACAAACAATTCTCCATTCCTGAAAAATAATGGAGCGTTCATACAATAGAATGACGTCACAGATGTGTTTTAATATATTATAAATATATATACCGAACATATGTAGGTACTGGAATCTGCTCAAATGCGATTTATTTGTTTCTCGAGCGTTGATCCGCACGCATTTCAGTAATCATTCTCAACTCCGTGGTGAGTATACAACCCAAGCTGCGTAAGGGTGCTTGAGGTTGTTTTTTCATCCACCCTCCTGGGAGAACAGAGGCACATTTGAACAAAGTCACTTATCCAGGATGACACTACATGCTTTGACGCTTGTGTTTCGGTATATGAACATATTCGTATTCAACGTAAATGTACTGTGCCCTGGGTGTGGGGACGACACGACAAAGACCTGTTAACATGTTGGTCCACAGGCTGAACTACAACCCGGCTGGCCTGGCGCTTTTGACCGCTTGCCCACTCCGCCCTCAATTATATAATCTAGACAAAAGGCGGGGACAGGTCAGTGCTTCGGATTCTGTGAGGTTAGTGTCCATGCATTTATTGGTGTGTTTTGCTCGAGCATGCTTCAGCTGTCCTGTTATTATAGAAAAAAACGTGGTCACCAGTTGTTGGCCATCTATGTTGTTTGTTTGTTTGTTTGTTTGTTTGTTTGTTGTTTTACGCCGCACTCAGCAATATTCCAGCTATATGACGGCGGTCTGTAAATAATCAAGTCTGGACCAAACAATCCAGTGATTGACATCATGAGCATCGATCCGCGCAATTGGGATCGATGACATGCATCAACCAAGTCAGCGAGCCTGACCACCCGATCCCGTTAGTCGCCTTTTACGAGAAGCACAATCGCATGTTACGGCAAAGATGGGTTGCTGAAGACCTATTCTATCCCGGATCTTCACGGTTCCACCGACTCACTGGTCAGTTGTTGGCAATACATGTGACATCAAGTCGAGTCCTTATTACCGCTGTTGGGGATCGCTTACCTTAAATCATACTGCTTCACATAGGGTCAACATTGACGCAGTTAGGCTCAGTTTCTGAAACATATTTAAAACTGCAAATTATTTTTATGTTGGGTTGACAATATGCGGTGTGTTCCCTATGCTAATAGTCTTTGTGGTTTAAGATCATGCTTCTACATGAACAGTTTGTAGCCTTTAATTCCACATATCATTTAAATATGCCTACCGACAATGACTGTAAAAGAATTGACCAATAAAAATCGAGTATTTTCCAAATTCAGGGAAGAAAACTTGATTATCTGAATATTGCATCATTTTGCGTTGATAAATACAGCAGCTGCAGCGTGTTGGACTCAAGCAGGGATTGAAGAAATGTACTTATTTGAACTGACATGTTTTAACGTGGAAACCTTTGGCGTTGATACATGTTGTCCTTTTGTAATCATCGCAGAGCAAGTAAATCGGTGAAATTATGTAAATGTTTAGATTTTAAAACAAACAAATATACAAGGTGAGGACAACGATGGGAGTGGTTTCAAAGTGTTTGATGGATACGAATGGTCGAAAGTTAAAGCTTGATCAAGGCATAATGAATACCTATTCCAACCCTGATCTTCACGGGTCTCACCTGGTTCATCACAACGTGCGGAGTGGTCGGGTAGCCTAGTGGTTAAAGCGTTCGCTCGTCACGCCGAAGACCCGGGTTCGATTTCCGATATTGCTGGAATATTGCTTAAAAACGGCGTAAAACCATACTCACTTACTCATCACCACGTGCACGGCAACGATTTGGGTTATTTAATAAAAGATGAAAGCCAACTCATCTTAGGCATGAAGTGTTCGTCAGTCAAGTCAGTATCCTTTGCAAAAAAACCTTCACTGTTTCCCTCTTCTACATTTGTCATGATATTTGGTTGGTTTGTGTGTGGACATGAAATTAATCTCACCTTCTGTTGCTCATTGCTGGTGATATTTATCCAAATCCAGGCCCAAAAGATGTAAGGATATTCCTCTTGAATATCAGAAGTATCCGGCACAAATTCACTCAAATCCACGAAGATATTTGCGATTTGCTTCGCCGAATCACACCACGTCAGTGTTCAGTCAACCGACCTTCTCCTTGACCTCTTCCATGACCCGCACAGGAGGGACAGAAATTCTTTTGGGGTGGCATAAATGTATATTTTTCTTACTCACTTAGGTCAAGCATAGAACAGATTTGGAAGTATATAATTCTGAATCAGTGTGGTTTCAAGTTAATTCACCGGAGAAATGTTTTCTGCTTTGTGTCACCTACCGCTCACCGAACACCCCTACTGCAAATTGGACTGCTCGAGAGCACGTGATAAAACCTGCACTTGGTGTTTCTCGTGACATCGTCCAAGTTGGTGACATGAATGATCATGAAGATCTTCAATCAGCATTATTCCAGCTACATGACGGCTGTTTGTTAATAATCCAGTGATTGACATCATGAGCATCGATCTTCGCAATTGGGATACGATGACATGCATGAACCAAGTCAGTGAGCCTGATTATCTCTGGTATTCAGTAACTTCAAAACAAGTCACCGCCAGGTCTCCTTTTCAAAAAGCGACTGTCAAGCTGCAACTGTCGTAAGTCTGTGTTGAAGCACAGGAGTTACGATAGCTGTCGCGTTACTTCTGTCGTAAGTCTGTATTGGAGTATTGGAATAACAATAG